GAGAAGATCAAGAAAGGTGGCTCTCGCGATTTGGTTACTTTAGGCGAACGATTACGGGGCCATGTGATGCTTTACGGTATTCATTTATCCGTTTATATTAGGGATCAGATTAGCTGGAAAATATTTTTTTACCCAATTCATCGAGTGAAACATGTCTACGAGGCATACGGCAAAAGGAAACTCCCTATGTCTCCTGATGGGCCTTCACTCCGAGCTTGTGTCTGACAGCAGGAGCAAATCCAGTGAAAGCTTGTGAATTGTGAAAATAATTACGCTGCTCATTACGCAGTACGCAAACAAGAGTGAAAACAAAATGAAGCACTTGGACGTGAGTACCAAGGGAAAAGTGTATACGAATTGGAACAGTTGAAGTAACATTCTTTGTGTAAGAACCACGTACAATATAAAGCAAAAGGTAATCATGGGCATATTATGTTACATCATTGAAAAAGTTACACGTTTGAAGAAGGCATAAGAAACAGTGTTACTTGTTTTTGTCAAACAAAAAGTACGTGTGTTTTCATTGAACTGTTTGATTAAGGATGGCTATGCATTACAAAACGAAATTATTTGATAATCTATGGTTTTAGCACCGTGGCAAGTTCCAGTTGACTCTTCAGAAATGGCAACGATGAAATTTCGCGTATGTACGTTCTGAATGTGAGCACCATTTGCCGAAACTCGCAAAGTTCTCTGTATCACTCTCTACACTCGCTATACATAAGAGATGGCGTGTATCATCGTACATCATCTGTGACAATTGGGTACTGCTGGGGACACGACGCAATATATACAAGTGACAGTTACATTGTCAGCAAAATAGAATCCATAAAGAGACTCAGCTTTTCAAGCTGTCGTGAAGCATGATGCTCAGTGAACAGGAAAGTAATGAAAACTTTATTTTGTCCCAGAAGCCGTGCCCATAGGCATACGTCCAAATTGCCCGTTTGTCTGCACAAGCCTGTTGCACTTTTACCTAAGTAGCCATAGTTGTGGGCACCATGATGAGACAGCTCCTTCGTAAACTACAAAATTAAACTTAAAGATACATTGAAGCAAATCGAGGGTATACCTACGGTTCTTTAGGCCAGGGTATTTTATACTCTCACATGTTAGTTATCACAAAGATGATGAGATTATGAAGGACGCCGTAGTGTAGACCCCGAATTGATTTTAGCCAGCTGCGGTTACTTCGCGTTCCCCTGAACATAACGCACGAGTTCTTTGTATCATTTTTGTTTTCTTTTTTGTGCGTTTCGCTCCCATCAAAATGCGGCTCCAAGTCTGGAATGGAACCCTCCCCCTTAAGCCTCTAAGCTGCCACTACGGATCAATAAAATCATCATTTCGTAGAGATTTTGTAAGGTCATCCTGAGAAATTTCCTTGCGAACCGAACTCGAAAAATTCCTGCGACTGTACTTCGCTACAATGGTTCGTTATTTCGCAAGAACAGTTTGCCGACGTGCTTATCGGCTGCGCACCTGTAGCTCAGACACATTCCCTGACCCTGTTGTTGGCGTTAAGCTCTTGTTCTATCGCAGCCATATAGTTTATTATCTCCTGCCAACGTCACGTACTTTAAAGGGACACTAAAGGCAACTACGAAGCCAACGTCGATTGTTGAAATAGTGGTCCAGAAACCTTGTAGTGCTATTTTTGTGACAAGAAAGACCCTATTTTGAAATAAAATCATGTTTTAGTTGTCCGCATTGGTTTAGCGCACTTCAAATTACCCTCCTAAAGAAGCAGACCAACCGGACCGACTCACGTCTTTGTTGCCGTGCACAATGTTGCCCAGCTTTACTACGCTAGTAGCAGCAGACCGAAAGCAGCGGGATCCACAGCAGCAACAACGGCCATATATCGATTTCTCGCCATCGGCTTCGAGATCGCAAACGTTTTTGTTTCAACTGCGCCCCGCTAGATGACACCACCTATCCCGTGTCTTCACGCGAAAATTGAATTTTTGAACCATTCGCGCCGTTCCCCGTAGTAACGTCCTGCGGTTCTTATTTCCATGAATCAAACAGAAACAAACAAGCAGCATTTTATTGCGTCTCCTGATGCACTAAAGCTTCTTTATTCAGTGTAGCTAGATCGATTACTAGTGAATTATGGTAGGTGGTCCGTCTGATGTCATCGGGATTGTTTTGAAAATCTGGGACATTAAACTAAGCATATTGATCATTTTGAAAATGTCCTACTGCGGCGCTTGTGCTCTTGTACATTTACGTTAATTTCTCGGTAAGTAGGGGACTGTTGTTCACAATATTGTCGTTTTAGTGCTGTCATACATTAAGCTTTCACTCTGACGTAAATTGTTATTTGACTTTAAAGTACCCTTAACGCGTCGCGTGGGACAGCGAGCTAACCAAAATAAGGCTACGTCCGCATATCCGCAAACTGTGTCGGTACTGAAGCGAATGTTAGCCCTGGTAGCCTTTAGATCTTTACCTGAAAGTGTTCATAACGTAGATGACGTGAGCGAAAACATATGTAAACATTTCTTTTTTTGCGGTTTATGAAGCGAAGATTTCTTCGCAAACTTCCCGGTGCTTTCCTAATCGAGATGTGATAAGCGACAGCGCAAGCACGTCAGGTGCCCCACGAAGAAAACACGCGACACGCTGAGTACCCTTCATTCGTTCTTAGGCCCGTGTATACGTATAGTCCGAGGCAACTCTGCCGCACGTGCGCACACAATAACTCTAATGAAAAACAATGGCAGCCAGTGTCTTAGATACGCGAAAACACGGTATAAAATTCAGATTAGTACCAGGACAAAAAGTATTACTGATAGATTGTTGAGCTCTTTTCATTATGTGGTAAGTTTCTCAGGTGATACCGTGCCTGCTTGTTTTCGCTTCTGCCTAGAATCTTCTGTTTACGCTGTAGCTAGCCTCGCCCGAGCTGCACCAGTGCTCTACCTCTCCCTAAGCCGCGACGCAACAATGGTTTGCACCATCCCAAGAGAAATTTATGCCGACGACCATGGCCAAGCGTTTTTTCCCTTCTCACTGAACACGAATCTTTCTATAGCAACACCCGCTGCTAACGCGTCTAACCACATGAGCCCTACTACGTAGCACAATTTAACACAGATTCCACTTGCTACCACATTTCTCGCGTCCAACAGGCAACATAGCTATAGTACCGAATAGAGTTATCTGTATAGCAGCAAATTTCAGCCACGCTTGATATGACCGGAATATGTGAAGCATCGCAGTTGTCGGCGGCGTCCGCGTGGTGTTGGCGTCTGCGCAGTGCAAATGAACCACCGACAACACAAGATGGCCTCCGAGATTGCGGGCCGCGCCCGCAATCTCGGAGGTCATACTACCTAAAAGTAGCTTATACAAAATACCTCTAGGTGGCGCTGCTGGCGTCGCGCGTACTTCCTAGCGCTTTCCCCCGTAGATGCGATAGGCCTGTTTCCCACTCCAACTGCTATACGCTATCTCAAAACACTATATATTTGAGCCAGCGTGACCACCAGTATTTCGAACACGAGAAATGCAAGACACCGGCCCCCGGATCTGTACACAACTGACCAAAAAATTACTTCATATGATTTTCCTCATGAGGCACCGCATGTGGGGCTCTCTCCCCCATGATCTCAAAGCACACGCGAAGGCTAGGTGATGGGGAAGAACAGGAAATGGCTAGATGAGAGGACGGTGAACGGCTAGATCGGGAGCACCTGGCCGGCATTGTTAAAATAAAGGAGGCGTTGGCAATGAACTAGAGGTGATTTACAGCTTATGTCGACCAAGGAACGAAGTGGACATGGAAACCAAAAGAAATTTAGCGTCTCTTCTTAAAGATTCATATACGAAGCGAATGAATCACACGCGCAAAAAAAAAATTTCGGGGCTAAGCTCTTTAATGCGTGGGCCTGTCCTTCATTGTATGTATGTAGTCGTACGTAGCCACCGGTGGCACATTCCCGCTCTAGAGCGGGTATGTGCCACAGGGGATGCGAGATGGGAGATAGCGGTACTTGGAGTGTTCACGGCATGGACGCACGGACGGACGGACAGACAGACCAGCACATGGACGAACGAATGGATAGACACGCGGACGTAGGACGAGTGGACGTACGAACAGACAGACAGACAGACAGACAGACAGACAGACAGACAGACAGACAGACAGACAGAGAGACAGACAGACAGACAGACAGACAGACAGACAGACAGACAGACAGACAGACAGACAGACAGACAGACAGACAGACGGACGGACGGTCGGATTGATGGATGGTTGGATGGATGGATGGATGGATGGATGGATGGATGGATGGATGGATGGATGGATGGATGGATGGATGGATGGAGAAACCCATGGATGGACGCATGGACAGACGGATGGACGCACGGACGCATGGATGGACGCACGGATGGTCACGCGGACAGATGAAAGCAAGAACGAACGGACGGAAGGATGCATGGATGGGCTGATGGACGCTTCGCCCCACTCATCATCAATCACTCCGTGGATAGGCTGTGATTTTTTTTTCGCTTTAGGCAATATTGCGATCACCGGCGATTTTTTTTAAAGAGAGCTCCTGAATTTGCTGAAATAGTGACGAGAGTAGGTTAACACACAACAAAGAGCAGTAGTCCATTGGCGTTTAGCGACATTGGCTGAAACAGAATAAAGCTGATAAGAAGGAAGGGCGGTCAAAAAACTGACCGAAAATGGGGAAGAAGGTCATACAACGTACGCGGGACGATGAAGTTGCAAAATGTCTTTGATGAAGGCTGCACCTTGCTCTAGGGGAGATTAGATAGCATTTAGAGAAATAAAGCTGAGGTTTCAACATCTTTTTATTATTATTTTTTCTCTTTTCGAGATTAAGTCTACCTCGAAGAGAGCTGTGGTTGCGATGCACAGGTCCGGCCATAAAGCTGCCGGAGAGATTTAGTTGACGGACCTTGTGTTCGCAGATCTTCTATCTCAGGGCAATTAGCATAGGTACGATAAGAACAATCTTTTAATCGCCACATTACGCAATGTCTGCTTTATAAGCAGCTGGTACCACCCTTCCAGAGTCACGGAGGTCGCTCATCCACCGGCGTGCACAAGACACATTCTTGAGGTAAGCTTTGCCAATGGTTTCTTAACAACTGATTTTCAATGTGGACTAGCGGTGTAACAGGACTTTTTTTTTTATTGCAATTCATACAGCTTTGCACTCGACGCAATCATGGACAGCAGTTTGAACAAGTTTTAGTTTGCCAATTCTGCCGTATGATGGTTCGTTTTCGTGAAAATTATCGCAGCATGCTCACAGAGCTCATATCATTCTCCGCAAAGCAGCATATATAGTTTCTTTCTCTCAATCGCGTAGTCCAGTTCACATTCTATGAAACTCTAAGCACAGCATGGCATTAGACATAAAATTAAGGGCATACTCATCGCAAAGTATCAAACAGCCCAATTGTTTAAACTATCTCCTACGCATCAGAATAAAAAAAAAATAACCTACAACCTGACCCCTGCGTACCCCATTAGTACTATGAATACGATGCTCCGCTGCCAACACTAAATTCGTGGTGTCAATCTCGGCCGCGGTGGTCTCATATAAATTTAGGCGAAATGCTATAGAGGCCCGTGTAGTGTGCGATGTAAGTGCAGACTTGAATACCAGAAGATTTAAATATTCGGAGCCATCCACTATACGGTGTGCGTTATAATTGCATCATGGTTTCAGCACGTAAAACCCGTGTATTGTTACTGCAACACGGCCCCTATTCAGACCTATTTTATTATGTCGGAACTCGTTGTGAGCATTTACAGCACGTTCCAAAGCATGACACAAGTGTATCCGAGGAAGGTACACACCCATGCGATATAAGCATAACTGTGACCGTGGTCTCTCTTGGGTGCCAATATTTTTTATGAAGTGGACCCGCTAGTTATTGTTAAAGACAGTCATCAATAATACGCACGCCGAACTATATTGTTGGCAACATCTCTAAAGGCCACCAGTGCTCGCTCAGAGCGCCGTAGCTGATTTTTGTGGAAGTTAGCAATCAACGACAAGCTGCGCAAGCTGTATACACAGGACGAATTGTACTTGAACTGCAGTGCGCATGGCCGCTCGAATCTATCGCGGCAATATATAGTACGAATATATAAGTTACACCGTTTGGTATAAAGTTTGTTTACAGGAATAGCCATGACTGAAACTCGTTCCATGCGAATTACAAGCAGGAACGTGTTAGAGGCGGCGCTGAACAGTTTCCTAGCTAGCGTCGGCAGACAGCTGCTGTAACAGGGCTCTATCCCCGACCCATGACCTCATACTACGATTCTAGGGAAGAAAATGAAAGTGAAATGCTGTTGACGTTTGGCCATTAAATTCAGCACAGGAGGCCTTTGTTTCACTATTGTAACATGACCGGCAACACAATTAGTCAAAAGTCTTAACGCGCAAAGTTATCGGGCAATCCCTAAAGGCCTTATTTACACTGATGTGCGGGACCAGTATGCTAAACAAGCTGTGTAGCTTCTTTCTTCCGCATAGAAAATCATTATCGAGAATTCCAGGAGGCAGCACACCCTTTTACCCTTTCAGCCGCCACCCCCCGTTTTCTGGTCCCCCATGTAACTTATGATATGCCGTGAACGCAGGAACTCGCAGCACATCGACAAGAATCAAGATGGTCAATTCGAAAGTCGTGGTCAAGGGGGTGGCAGTGGTCGCGGTCGTCGTCATGGTTGTTGTGTCCGTGGTCGTGCCGGTGGTCCAGGGAAAGCCCAAGGCCAGCAGTGGTGGACCAGCGGCCGGCGCCCCGGACTTCTCGAAGTTCTTGGGACCACCTCTTCCCAGCGAGGACTGCGTGGGTGTGGTGGCCGCCCCAGGTGCTGCCGCCCTGGTGGCCGACCCGAACGACTGCACCAAGTACTCCGTGTGCTCGGAGACGTTCAGCTCGAAGTTCGACTGCCCACCCGGCCAGCACTTCAGCCCGGCCGACAACAGATGCGCGACCCCGGAGGAGGCCAAGTGCGACCCCGGTAAGCTGTTCACCCCATTTAAACAGCTGCTTAGTAAAGCCTGTATATCTATCTATCTATCTATCTATCTATCTATCTATCTATCTATCTATCTATCTATCTATCTATCTATCTATCTATCTATCTATCTATCTATCTATCTGTCTGTCTGTCTGTCTGTCTGTCTGTCTGTCTGTCTGTCTGTCTGTCTGTCTGTCTGTCTGTCTGTCTGTCTGTCTGTCTGTCTGTCTGTCTGTTCAACAGCTGCAGTACTGGCACTTAACTACCTCAGCAAACCTAACTAAATTTACGGGGAATATAACTTGCAGGGTTCCTTATGCATTCGTCTAAAACGACTTGAAGCAGAAAGCGGTCTTCTCTCTCTTCTCATTAGATGTGACTCGCCCCCAACCCCCCCCCCCTTCCCCTCCAAAAGTTTTTCGGCCTTTTGGCTAATACCATAAATAGCAGTTCTGCACTTAGGTGATTTTGCACTTCGTCCGGTGATCTCAGTATCGAAGTCATTGCAAGCTTTCTGCCCCCTCCCCCCCCTGGTTTTGCACGTCTCCGTGATTGCTCCAACCCCCCCCCCCCCCTGAACCAATGTCAACGTCGTGTGATCACGCCATTCATGATCACTTCATGATGACGTCACGTAATGGTGACTCCTTGTGTCACTCGTGTTGGCGTCGACAATCAATTTTTGCATTTTATGACGCACTAAAAGGCTTTCTCATTTAACATAAGAACGATTGTTGAGGTTGGTTCATACAGGAATTAGGAGGGGAACGAAGGCAAGAGGAACAGAAGAACCTTCCGTATACTTTCCTATACATTCCATATACCTCTCTTATTCTGTGACGTACATTCAGTCATGAAGGTGACAGATAAAGCTCCTCAATACCTCTACTTCGGCTTTCCGCTAAGACCACCCTAATCAGACTTGAAGTGGTGGCACAACGTGAGAGCAAAAATTTAATATAACCGACATACGCGGAAGCTAAGATAGACCCGATGCAATAACGTCTCGAATATTCTACGGAACTACGAAACGACACTGTCTCGAAAATATATTATCAAATAGGATAACAAGAAGCAATAACTACGCTTCTATCCAGCTCTTGAAGCAGGCGGAGAACGTCAAGGAGGCAAATGACCTTGATGTTTGAAATGAATCAGAATTATTAGAGTATCTGGCTTCAAGGCACATGCGTGCGCAGGTTTTTCTATCATGAAGGTAGTAGGGAAAGGGGGGGGGGTGAAATCTTACAGCAGCGCCCCCGGCTTGAAAAATTCATCGAATCCCAATGAAAACAATCGTTGCAATAGACGCATTAGTAGGAATGATGCGATAACGTGCTTTTCACGACTACCTGCCTTTGGTCCCTGGTTGTCGAAAGGTAAAGGTGGGAGTTAAGCAATAAGCGGAACGCAACATCATTGTTCCTGAGCAGTAATTATTGTCGAAAACCAACATGGCCCTTGCCCAGTACATTGAGCAAACAATGATGGGCAGGACTGACTGAGTAAAGGCATGTGGGCAGACTTGGTGACTCCCTTCACATGTAGGGGGGAGCGGGATAGGGCTGCCCCCTTCCCTGTGTGCTGCTTCAGCTGCTTATGATGCTAAAAAAGAACTGTTCATGGTGACGCACATTCGTTATGAAATCAGTCAGCATAACATTTTCTCTCTTCTTTTTCGGCAGCTTTTGCCGACAATGATGCCGCCGAGGATGAAGCAATCAACGTCGATGTGAAGTCCGTTGCGGCCGATGTCGTTGACGCCGCCGACGTGGAGGTTGATGCCGCCAACATCGTCGCCACCGATGTCTAAACATTCGGTCTGCACCGCACGCTGGCTGTGGGTGCACGCAAGTACCGACGTCTTGTCTATACTCGACGACCACCTTCGCTGGAGACGTGCGTGAAACAGGGCCACACATTACGGAACAAGGATGCCCATGGATTCCTTCTTAGCCTCCGAGATACCTGTTGCAAAGAAATAAAAGTGATGGTGTTGTGTGTTCCTGAACATTGTTTTTACTTTGTATGAATGGATGGACGGATGGTAGGATGGATGGATGGATGGATGGATGGATGGATGGATGGATGGATGGATGGATGGATGGATGGATGGATGGATGGATGGATGGATGGATGGATGGATGGATGGATGGATGGATGGATGGATGGATGGATGGATGGATGGATGGATGGATGAAATAAACAGGCAATGATCTGTGTGCAACCAAGCTTTTACAAGAAATTATGACTGCTTTGTCTACGCCATTATAACCGAACACGCAATGAAAAAAAAAAACTGTAATGAATCCACAGGACAACTCTTTACCCGGTACAGTATAAAATGAGCTTATTTTCTCCATTATTTGTATTGCCATTTCTTTTTACTTTTTCGTAAAAGAATTCCTAACCAGATGTTATTATTTTCATCGTGAAATTTATCATTTCTTTGTTGTTCTTTGAACCCAAGACTTCATGTTGGCCCAAACGTACGCCAAGGAAAAAAATCCACCCTCTGGTGAGTTTCGCGTTACCCGATCAGTTTACTTCAAAGGTATTGCATAATGCCTTTTTCAAACAGTCGACGGCACTAAGTCAGACGTAGAAAAATGGTATCGGAGTTGATTCTCAAAATTTCGGCTAATTAACAACATTCATATGACATCAGACGAGTGATTGAAGAATTAAAAAACGATGAGTGGTCAGAACAAGCACGTCTGTAAGTTCAACAACGATATAGCGAGGTAGACGAAGAGAAAATGGGCACAAAGCAACCGTAAGTATCAAGTGGTGATTATTATGGTGAAAAACGTATATAACTACGTAGGAAACAGTGCTACAAGTTCAGCAAAATAAAGAGTTACGTATTCCCGAGTTCTGCTGTAGTATTCTGCACCGTGACGACCACGTGACCATATGAGGTGGACACCATGACATGGTACCGCGGGCGCACGGAGAAATCGCTTCTCGTGGTGGAAATTCCGCGTCTCCGATTTTCCGGCTGCCCGTGTTTAGGACTCTATACCAAATGGCCGACAAGTTCACCGGTTTGCCTAATCAGTGCATATCTTGAAGACAGTGTTAACGCTGCAGAAGTTCACGCCAACTCCGACTTGAATTAAAGTTCACTTACTGTTTATTTCAATGACACTTTAGATGGCTGCTGCTATGTCAATATTGAAGTTAGTAACACTTGTTGTTAGATATAGTTGGAACATGATAACTATAGTGTGAAAAAACACGCCTTACAATGACGAAAATAACATGAAAAAAGGGGGCACCTTATGTTCATATTGTGAGGAGCCATTGAATTAATGGATGGAATAATTAATGAACACATCGTGGATGGCTAAATTCTTTGCTTTTGCAATTATTTGAGTATATTTACGTACGTTAAAACACACGTTTTCTCGTCTGCAGCGCGAACGGGCGGTGATAAGCAAGAAGAAACGCCATACACAGTGCAAAATATTAATCTATCCCAACTAGCCTAGTATGTCACTATTATGAGAAGTCTGAACTTTTTAAGAAAATCCGAGGGTCAGTTTTGTTCGTACTGATATTAATAATTTACACTCTTTGGTAAAAAATGTGTTTACAGGAATGGCCATGACTGAAACTCGTACTATGCGAATTAGAAGTATACACGCGTTAGAGACGGACGCTGAACAGTTTCTTAGCCAACGTTTAGCCTGCGTTTTAACTGCTGTGTGTTAGCTTATGTATAGTAAACGCATACTTACGTCTTAATATGACGGAGAAAAGCAATACAGATCACCAGCGTAATTTGTGTTTACACTAAATAAAATAAGTGGGCCCATAATGAGATAATCTAGACAGAGAACAAATGAAAAAAAAAACAAGAAGTATGAAGAGTGATGTGGCCTTCAAATGTATATTTTAAACAAGAAGCCGTTAAGCCTTGCAAAGGAAAACAACGGTACGAATGTCGTAACCGCACACACAACAAAAAAAACTAATCCAGCAAATACGTCAAACCGAGGTAGAGTCATATAGTTCCTGGGTCATTAACGACGCTTCTCTACGTATTATTGCCTGTATTCAAAGCAATCAGCGAAACATCTCGACGAGTGCATTATCTTCTGTCAGTGACATCGTCGATATTTGGTCGATAACATCGACAGGAGAAGGTGAAGTTTTATTTTCTGTCATTGCTGGGGCCAAGATGTGCGGGGACCAACAAACTAGCCCTGCTCCCTCCTTTCGGGCATTGAGTACCGGACATTGAGTACCGGACATTGAGTACCGGACATTGAGTACCGGACATTGAGTACCGGAGCTCCTTCAGAGGCATGGGCGCCATCTTCCCGGCCACTGCGTGCGCATTTTGGGACGTAATTCATTAACGCCTGCTTGTGCCTATCTAAGTGCACGTAATCATGTTGTCAGAATTACTCCGGCGCCCCCTCCCCCACCCCTCCTTCATAATGGCTTGCCTCGTAATCCCGTCGCAGATTCGGCCTGTTAAGTCTCCTCCATTACTAACCCCACCCCCCTTTCTTTTTTTACTTCAGCTCCCAGGACAAGTGTCAGCTAATGGTCGTAAAAGGATGAATGAGGATAAATTTCTGCGAATCTAAGGCAAAAGTGAGGATCTGCTTAAGTGTAAAAGGGCCCGCGTAGCAAGAAGATAGGATGTTATTGAGTAAATTGCGGAGTATACACGACGTAGATATAATTATAAGAATGTCGAGGTGGAGTCTAACGTCTCTAAAAGAAGTGGTGGACGTATTAAAGTGCCGAATACCATTCCAAAAAAAATAGATACCGCAATCTTTCGTCCGAGTGTGTGAAATAACGTCTCGTATTGAAAATAGGACAAATTATGAACATAAAATGAGTATTTTCATTGAGGGAATGAACGCTGTTTGAACGTCGCTCACCTCGAAAGCGAGATAGCATAATTGTCCACCTTGTCGAGCCTTTTTGAAGCAAGCATATTTCCCAGATCTGAAAACCCTGCTGACAGGCGTGACAACGTAAGTGAACCCCAAAATGAACGGGTACCGGCTATAGGGCAAAGTCAGTCCAGAAATCGACTTGCAGCAGGCAGTAAATGTTTTTCGGCTCCTAATATAGAGAGGCATGATGAAGTAACCCTATTCCAATAATGTGAACAACGTACGATGTCTCAATTGTACCTACCCTAAACGAAATCTTGCAAAGTGTAATTTTTAGGCTGTAACTAATGGTGTGGACGGATGACATTGTGCGCGAGTTATATTAAATATAAGTACATACATCCTTCGCCCTAAGCGTGTGCATAGGCTGTGACGGGGAGGGAGGGGTGCGACTGTTGACCTAATCATATAAGGGAGGCGCCAGTTTCGACGCATACCTTTACTCGGACGGACATATCGCGTGATTTTTCACTGCAAATGTTTATGGCTAAACATGCCTTTGGACTTCGACGGTGACCGAAGACTCCTGGTGTTGCATCCAAAGAAATGTTTACCTGCCACCTTTACCCCTGAGACGACAAGGACCAATAGAAGGTCAGTTGTAAGAAACACGTCATTGCTTTATTATCATTTTTGCATCCATCTTGTAGCTTGTATTCTTTTGTATTCAGCCAATAGATGTTGGAAGTAGAGGGGGCGGGGAGGTAATAGTTCCGGTGCAAAACGAAAAAACCGACCACCCTTATTGTCGAAACCTGCGCATGCCTAAGCCATTGGTGGTTTTGGGACGTTAAACCCCATGTATCAATCAATCACACTACACACGTATCGTAACAGTGGACGCTCGTATGGGGATCTGCATGGTGTCCTCGATCAAGTTGAATTTGTTTGTCAATGCGTGTTTTTAGCAAGCGTCAATCTCCGTACATTACAAACCATAGCGTAAGTACGAATAACACGGAACAAAAGGCTAACAGGACTAGCGCTTGTTCTGTCTGCTTCTTCTCCACGTGTTATACGTCATTGCGCCATGACTTTTGATGTACGATGTACTGTATCAACACCATTTTCAAGTCGGTATTTGACTTTGTTGGTGTAACATACTCAGAATTTTAAGCGTGGCACTGAAATGACGAAACAGCGAGTAACGCACACAAGCGCTAAATTCTATCAATGCTTTATTTGAAGCCGGATCAAAAAAACATAGATGAAAAATTCCAGTCACTCAGGCATGCGCAAATAAGGAAACATGAAGGAATGAGAATTCTTTTCTAGATGACGATATATGTATAACAATATGGAGTGGACGCGATTTTGTCGCGCTTAAAATTACGAACATAATGCATGTTCATGCAGACGTGCCGTCCCCGCAGGTAAAGATTATTGCTTAGTGTCCAGTCATGGCTTAGAGATGATGCAGCAGACGGCAGGAAGTCGGTGGGAAGACTGCTCTGGTAGGATTAAGAAAGGATAATTACTTGAGACCTGCGTTAAGATAAAATCGACTATTGCCCTTAAAGTTTGCATCGCGGTTTCGGGAACAGTTACGCAGCAGATCTGGCGGAGATCTTGGCTATCCGCTTCCTGTCCGTAGAAAATCCGGTTTGCGTTCAAAGCGAGTGCCGGGCGAGTTTCAGGGCACCGTCGTAAAGGCCGCGACCCCGACGACCTTTAATTTACTTTTAGCTTGCGGATCTTCTATCTGAGGGCAATTGGTGTAGCCGTGATAAAGATAATCCTTTTCTTTTCTCTCATACGTGCGCGACACGGCAACCGCCTTATAAGCCGGTTGATGTCCCTTCTCCTCCAGTCCCAAAGATTTTTGCATTCGCCAACGAGCCCAGGAGACCGAGACGATAAGTAAGTGTTGTGCGCCCAAACTGTTCTTTTTTTATAGTTTTAAGGAAACACAAAGCAAAATTACGTCCCGTCGTATTAACGCACCTTGTACTCTTCAGTTTTGTGCGGATCTCCATGAAAGTGGTCTCGCTGACACAGTGTCCATTTCTACCACTGCAGTGAAGTTCAGGTCTGCTTCACAGCTATTATCCCACCTTTTAACACATGTGTTTTTGATTTCGCTCTCGGCTTTCCCTTTAAATTTCATTTTAACCGGCTCAACGCCCACTGAAGTTTCTACTCAGTGAACTGCGTCCTATAGTTGTTGAGCCGCAATACTCTAAGAACTCAGCAACAAGTTCATGATCTTGTGTGAATTTTAGGCGTAGTGTTGTTCGAACATTTCGTCTCACTTCACTTCTTGTTTCCCTCTCCTTTCTGTCTCCTTTCTATTTCTGACTCGCATCATTCTGATACTACGCATTTTGCTGAAATACGTGCACTTCTGAAGAAGCAACTCAGCCAATGCATGCACTTGTATCACCATAAAATTGCTCTCGTTGCTCGCAGTGTGTCAAAACGAATAGGGAGGACAACTCAAAGATTTTTCAAAATGAGTTTTTTGCTGAAACGTTTCAATGAAGTCACATTTATGTCCTTCTTAGAAGCCAGCTCGCTATACTAAAGAAGCTGGCCTACTTCGAATAGGCAACGGTATTTCGCTGCCACTCACCGGATTCTGAATGGAGGTCGTATCTCCTATGTCTTAAAGTAACTATAGCTTTCGGACAGTAAAACAGCTGTGAGCGCAGTTGTCATCTTTGTCATCTGGAAATATCATCATTTTCGCAACTCCCGCGTTTGTATATATTATCATCAACATGCGTGAACCTGAGCTCGACTCGAATAACGCCGTGCCTCACAAGTGGCGGAGGTGCCGGGACCGAAAAACTGATTTGCATTATCCTGTAGTGCTTTTGATCAGACAGTCTGATGCCATTTATCTGAGCCCTATATATGTCCGGTTATGAAGCTACGTTTTGCGTAATTTCTTTCGATATCAAATGCAGCTTATCTAAGCAGTAGTTTTAATGACACATAAAGCAGCGTTAACATGAAAATTATTGATCATAACGTTGAGACCTGAAGTTATGAACAGTACTCATCGTAATCAGCGCACAAACGAAACACAAAGAAGTATTCGACACAAGCGCTTGTGTCGTGCAATTTCTCGGGTTTTTTTTTTTGCTTTTTTGTGCGGTGACTGTGATGAGTATGTTCCAACTAGCCCAATTCGCTACATTACTATGAAGAAGACATAGTACGTACATAGAGTAAGAGATGGCGCTAATGCGCACGCGTTTCATCAGTGCAGCAAATACTTTCCTTGGGAGTGTTTTTGTGTACTAATAGCTCGCTCTACCTCTTAAATCGAAAAGAACAGAAGGAGGACGAGTTTGCGCATAACGACGCAATAGCTGAATTCAAAACATCAAAAAAAGAACAATAATTCCTCGTTTTATGGTTATCTATAGGTAAACGTAAACCTTTTCATACAACACTTCGATGTCATTTCGTCTGTTAATAGGTGACTGTCACGCAGAAAGTCGCTTCATGCCCTGTGATGGGGGACATTTAGAACAAGGACTCGCTCCCCTAATAAAGCAGATAAACGAGGCTGCAATTAGGGAGAATGTTTTACGACACGCGCGGTACTAAGAAAGCGAACAGTGGAGTACACAGCATTCGTATAAGCCTCTGTCGTTCAGGATAAATAGCTTACCCGAGCTGTTTTTCGTACAGCCGGATGGTTCGCGTGTGTCTTTGAATCTCTGCTTTCATTTTACCCGCAAAAGTTTAACCACCGCGATGCCTGAGAAAGACCTGAGGGATGGTGATTTTTTCTGGCGTTTAATATTTGATTGGTTGACAAGATTATTGCTGCAGCTTATATAGCATGTTTAGAAAATCCCCTCGCATTAAGCTGTCCGGAAAACTGGAAAACTGTTTTGAGTAGTGCCTAACAATAATAAGCGAGAGTTTAAGATAGTACTTCAGATACAACACAATAGATTGAATAAACTATACAATACTATGAGAGCTTGAAGTAAGAATTTAATAAAGCAATGGTGAGCATTAAACGCAATTTAATGTAAGCACGTTCTCTCTATGCGGCTGTCTACCATTTACGGAGTTTATTGTATTCTGCAACGATAACCACGAAGGGCGTATATAAAACACGGCCGATAAAGTAATGAAAAGTGAAAAATCTGGCATTGGTGGAAAAGTGGCCTTACGTCGTGTCCCCCATGTAGCGACACAGAGATCTCGTTCGGGCAGACTTTGAGACAAGATGTGATAGCGGTAGATGAGGTGATGAAAGCATATGTCCCTCTATGAACGCAAGGTCAACTACCGCGATAGTAAGGCTTCCGTAATGTCTCCGTATATGAGCTCTGTCTCAGTCATAACGGTGCTTTAGTTCTCCAACTCGCCCCCTCCACGATTATAATAAGCGGGAGAGAGAACACTTAGCACTCGCATCGGCAAGACAGCAAGAAGTAAACAATGGGATAAAAATATATCTGTTCATGTTGCGCGTTAAATGACGCTGTTCTGCGAAAAAAAAAGCCCTCCCAGGGTTCCTCAAGCATTTTTCAAAGACGACTCGAGAGCGAGAGCTATGTTGTTGTTTTTTTTTTTGTCTGTCGATGTATTGCTTCTTTTCTCCCTCTATGATCGTCCCACTTTTGACCTAGCGACGATGCCATGTGATGACGTCATCGCGTATCACCACGTACAGTAACGTAGTAGTGACGTAATCACGACGCAATGATGACATCACAAATTTGGTCATCTGTGAAGTCGTGTCATATGGTCACGTCACCACGTGATTATGCTTCGTTGCATAACTCGTATTGACGGCCCCAAGCGGTGAATCTCAGCAATTAATAAGACATCTAAGGCGTTAAAATTACCCGCTATTTTCTTTGTACACCTCTCATCCTACCAACCTTTTTTTATCATGGACGCAGGATATTGCAAACTAGACTCTGATAACAGGCAAGATGACGAGGGTTGTGGTTAACCGGATGGTTGTGGTGGCGGTCGTCGTCATGGTCGTCGTTTCCGTGGTCGTCCCCGTGGTCCACTGCAAGGGTGCCAAAGCTGGCAAGGCCGGTAAGGCCGGTAAGCCCGGCAAGGGACCAGGCGGCGCTTCTTTCGGAACACCTCCTCCTCCCAGCGAGGACTGCGACGGCGTTGAAGCGGCCGCCGGCGGCGGAGCCTCGCTCGTGGCCGACCCGAACGACTGCACCAAGTACTCCGTATGCACGGGAATGTTCAGCCTGAAGCTCACCTGTCCTCCCGGACAGCACTTCAGCGTGGCCGACAACAGGTGCACAGCACCGGAACAGGCTGCATGCGACCCCGGTACGAACGATGGACAGCTTTAGAAGAACAAGAGACAGGGCATAACTGCACGCATAGACAATCACAGTCTGTCACTCTTACGAGGTCCATGACCATCACAAACAATCGCTCAAGTCCGTTTCTCTTTGCTCTCCATAGTTCAATCTATCTCATTTTGTTCCCAAGTGAAGGGTATAGCAAACCGGTTTTCCAAGATTGGTTAGTACCTTTTAACTGAATAAGGACGCGCACGCAAACACGGACGCTAGAACAAGAAAATGCATACAATTATCCGTGCTACTGGTTAACGTCCCTGCCTTTCCATCTATATACTGTTCTTTTCTTCTTGATGAAGTGTAGGAGCTCAGTGAAACGGGGTAGGTGGTACTGGTTAATTATGCTAAAGTTTGACAGGAACGAGTAAAAAAAAATTAAGGCACACAAACGACGGGTTCATGCTAACGATCACGCGTGTAGTACAGTTTTGTAATGTATTGTATAGTGTAGTATAGCCTAGTAAAGTTTTCTACGGAATCATGTTACTAGTTAGTCAGGCCCGTGAAGAGTTTTTAACACGGCCCTCATTATACCGAATGATGGATTGTTGGTATCAGTGTAGTTTTATAGGGTATGCCAAAAGGTTGGCGAAACAAACAACGCAAGAAGAATACAAGAAAAACGATAAGTGTAAGAGTGCTCTCCCAAAACTAAAGAGGCGTCGTCATTTTATTTACATCACCTTTGGACCACCCAACGCCTTTACGAAAAAACCCCTGCCACGCCTTTTTTTGCGCACTATATTTTTCTCTTTTTGAAATCCTTTCCATCAGCCGTTTGCAATATGCGATAAATTTTTGCACTATCAGTGCTCGATTTGAAAATACATTTGGTAATGAAGTTAGTACTTTCTATGCACCAGTCTCTACTTGGTCGAATATTGAAGTTAGAGATTGCACAAAAATTGCGCTCACAAAATTCTGCCTTATTAAGCACTGCAGTATGGCTTGTTCTGGAGGTCAGTTCATATACGATCTTTATCGCTAACTCGTGGCACAAATTTTTGCTAAAGAGACCACAAATTATTTGGAGCTATTGTTTCAAGGGCACCGCGCTGCATGGCTCAGAGAACTGTTGTCATCCTTTCTCTTTCTTTTAACAGCTTTTACAGCTGCACCGGCTGCCGCTGCTGAGGCCGAAGCTTCTGAAGCAGCCGTGAATGTCGAGGCTGAGCCAGAAGCCGCACCTGCCGAGGTCGCCGAGGCTGTCGATGTCACCGTAGTCACCGATGACGCTGAAGCAGTCGCCCAGCAGGTCGCTGTCGCAGCTTAACTCCGGAGCGCTTTGCACTCCTCGCGGACGTTGACGCACGTCGACGCGCGAAGCCTGGTTATTGACCACTTCATCGAAAGGAAGCGTGCCTATTCCTTAGAGTCTGGTTTGATTAGGTTGTTTCGAACCCTCAAAGGAGCTTGCAATTGTCAAATAAAAAGGACATGTTTCGCACGTTATTTCTGCTGTACTTCCTGATTGGAAATCCTTGTCTTTATGTTCGGATCAACATGAATGTTTTACTAGTTAGGAGGGGGGGGGGATTCCTAAATAAAGAAAAGAAGATAAAAGTGAGCCCCATAACTGTCTGCATCTAAGTACGATACCTCAACAATGACTCACGATGGAAGGGGACAAGGAGGGATCAGAATGGATTGAGTGTGAAGTAAAGATAAGACAAAGAAAGATGGAGACACGGTTGAAGGAGTCCGAGGACGGGGCGCCACTCAGAGAGAGGTTCACGGCGTCAGGAGATGGCGGAGGGCGAGTGAAATTGACAGTTATACGGCTAGCCATATAACTGTCAATTTAGAAAAAAAAAATTATCAGTTTAGTCGTTCTGAAGCCGATGGGAATGTGTAGAGGAAAATGCGCCGCTTTATCCTGCTCCTTAGTTAACATTCATCTGTGCCTCAGCGCCAGGGCTACGCCACGGCTCAGAAAAGACGTCGATATTAACGCGATAGCGTCCAAGGGACACTAGAGTAAAATAGCATTAAGGCAAATAGCAATTTATGTCGGAGTGAAAGCTCAACGTATGACAACATATCATCTACAGCAATGCCCTACTTAGCGAGAAAATAAGCTAAATGTACCACACGACGTGCGCCACGAGTGGGGCATTACCGAAATGATACCGAGGACGTCAGAGTGTCCGACTACAATTAATCACTAGTAATCAAACTATCTCCAATAAAAAAAGAACCTTCCGTGTATCAAGAGACGCAATAAAACGCTGCTTGTCTGTTTCTCTATATTGAAAAAAAGGAACCGCCTGGCGTTACTACGGGGAATGGCGCGAGTGGTTCGAAAATTCGGTTGTCGCCGGGTTAGGGGTTTCAGTTAGACCGGATTGGTGGTACCATCTAACGGGTCTCAGCTGAACCAAGCAAGCAGAAAATTCTTCAATGGCCGTTGTTGCTGCTGTTGCTACCAGTGTCGGCGGCCGCGCAGTAAAGGCGGGAAACTTTGGGCACGGCAACATTGACGTGAAACAGACCGCTTTCAGGTGGGGAATATGAAGTGCCCAAGTGCAATGTGGACCACTAAAACGTGATTTTATTTCAAAATAAGCACTTCCTTAGCACAAAAGTAGCACTGCGAGATTTCTGGCCCGCTATTTTAGCAATCAACATCGACTTGGGATTTGCCTTTAGTGTCCCTTTAAAGAGCTCGTGTCGGCATCACCATAGTTGTGAGATCCTCATATTGTCGGTGACCGAAAAATTGAGAAAAGAATCAAATACAATTAATAATTAAAAGCTTTGCTTTGTCTTAGAATGAAACTCAGGCCGTGTGCTATAATGCAGGTGCTCTACTATAGAGACATGCGATTACTTAACACCACCTTACAAAGAAATTCAATGTGAATGTCATGTATTGTGAAAGTAGTGACCTTAATGCTTACAATATTGCGTGGTAGAAGCGGAGATTCGTGTGAGGTGCGAAAAGATATGAATTGAGTGACGACTGAAGGCCCAACCATTACAAAGAACTCAGGCACATGTAATCATCAGCAGCAGCAAACGCATCCACACAGCGAGCCACTGCATAGGCTCGCGTGTTGCCTCACGTCCGCAAAGTGAGCCCTTCACTAATTCACAAGAAGGAAAAATTATGGTGTATTGGGCATTTAACAAGTGTACTAGCAGCAGACATTTTAGGATATACTTTGAAACGACTGATGTTACACGCACAGTCAATCGTTTCCTTAAGGCATGGTGGAGGCATGCACTGGGAACCGAAGGAAGCGAGGTTAGAAGTTGCGAAGGCGCACATGCGCACGGGGCCCCATGACACTATCGCTTTCTGCTCTAAAGTGTTGTTCGAGCGTCCTCTACATTTTAAATGTGAAGTATTTCATTTTGTGTGGCCAACACTTCGGCCATATCTATCTATCTATCTATCTATCTATCTATCTATCTATCTATCTATCTATCTATCTATCTATCCCGCCACCCACCTCTGGGTGCCCTAGTGATCACCTCCATGATGTAGACCGAAATTTGTGTGAGAGGGTCAGAAACTTTGACAATGTCTGTCTGGTCAGTTCATGAATAATGTGAAAATCCCGTCGCGTGCGATATCAAACGCTTTCCTCTAGACACATGGGGCCCGTGCCCCTATACCATGAGCCACGGCATGCAGGTACGCGTCACAGGTGTTTGTCACAAACAAGCGAGCATCACCTATAGCTAAAGCCTATGGAAACAACCCGGAAGCAACCTATAGAGCCCGCATCACACAGATAAGGCCCAGAAACAACCTACAGGCGACCAGATTAGTCTTAAAAATTGTACAGTTCCGCTGCTTCAAACATTGTTCGTGCAAGCTGCGCCAATTCTTTCTAGAAAGAAGCTCCTTAGGCCCGCCGCACCCCGCCGTCGAAGCTCTCTGCACCGGGCTGAGCACTCCGAGCAAAACAACAGGTGCGTGCTCCCGGCAGATGGCTCGCGCGTAGCCACACGCGCAGCTCGCTCACCCGCTCTGTCGTTCCCACTGCCGAACGCACCAAACGCTCATCCCACCCACTCCCCACTCTATCTATCTATTTATTTATTTATTTATTTATTTATTTATTTATTTATTTATTTATTTATTTATTTATTCAATTATTTATACAATACTGCAGGCCACAAATGGGCCCAAGCAGGAGTGGGGGTGTTACAGAGCCGTTAGAACAATTATACAATCTTTGGCGAGGTAAAAACAATAAACAGGACAATACAAAATATTTTGAAAACACTGTAAAATATTATTACAAAATTTTACAAGTTAAACATTTGATCAATAGATTTCAGCACATTGTCAGATGAAAGAATTTCATGCGGGAGGTTATTCCAGTCGGTTATAGTGCGGGGAAAAAAAGAATACCACCACCTTCATGAAAGCCAGCAGCGAGATCAGGCATACAGTCGCTTGCGCGCCATTTCTAAGGAGTTTCGCTCCTCGGTTGTATTCGTATACGATACAACTGCTAGCTTTATTATTAGTAATAATAAATGTTACGTCTCTCTCTCTCTCTCTCTCTCTCTCTCTCTCTCTCTCCCTGTATCACTTCCAGCTCGGTGCTCGTGCGGACAAAACAAAACAGAAAGCACTTTTAAAGTGTGCGACAAATCACTAACTCTGCTTGTTTTCGGCGGATTCCAGAAAGTCTTACGGCTACCAATCCGTGGTGTAATCAATTCTGATCGTAAAGTCATGCAATGGTTACTTGGAAAACTAGTTCGGGATTCTTAAAAAATATTTATGTGGTCAATGTTATTATGGTGGTCTCCCTGAGAATACAGGCCTGTTTAAGTTGACTTTCAACGCTTCCCAATTAAACAATTCAAAGAACACACAAGAAATGTTTTAATTATCGCACAGTACGAAAGTATAGATCACAAGAGGTAGAGAGAAAAAAGTGACAGCTTTTCCGCAAAGGTGAGGCAATGAACGCACTAGCAACAAATCCGAAGGCCACATGCAGAATGGCAATCACATCGAAACGTGCCCTGCGTTTTCGCGTGGCCGCACGAAACGTACTCGCAGGTACAGATGAACGTGAATAAGCGTATCAGTCTTTACTTCGCTGTGTCTGAAAAGCGCGCTCTTTTCGCAAACGGAGGCTGTGCAACAATTGCAGTGACCTTTGTGCACCCGGTAACTGCAACAGGATTGTTCCGGTGAAAACCAAAGGCCAGCCAAGACGTACGATTGTCTCCACCGCGAGATAAGGGTGCGTGAGTGAGTGTCCCCCTCCTTTCCGCGGACAAAACACGCGTGGGAGATGAGAGCGCGCGCCGAGGCGTACACTCTCATGTGGCGACGAGCGGTCATTGCGCCATCTTGCTGGTAATGCTGAAAACACGATAGTTCTTCCAAATTCAAATTGTTTCGCGCGTTCCTGCAGTTAAGATGAATTACCAACTCGCCCAGCAGTCCGTGCTTCTCGTGCCCCCGCCCTCCTAAATGCCCGTCATCTGCTGTAAGTAACAGATATAAATAGCTTGCCGTTTGAACATTGCATGACGTGTTTCTCCGTGGCTCAGTGGTTAACGCCTCGCACTCACTATTCAGAGGTCCCAAGTTCGATCCTGTGCGTCGGAATCTCTTTCTGGATTATTTTTCTTTCTTGCATTTACATATATAAATATATATACGTACACATATATAATAAGGGACGCGGACGCCGGCGGCAAAATCTAGCTGAGAGTGACCGTATAATTATATTGCAACAAAAGTCAGTCAATTACGTCAGGTATGGTCAATCGCCCCTATAGCCGTCGCCCAGAATCCCATGGGACACGGCAGCAGCAAGGGCTTGACTGATATCTAGCTGGACGTTGGGGTCTGGGCTGCGGAGCAGGGCTTCTCGGGATTCTACAGTGTGGACACCATCGTTTTGACTTGGACATGTCCACAGCATGTGGACAAAATTTGCCACCTCATCTCAAACCTTATACTGGGACCGGAAAACTTGGGAGTTCCACTTGCTGTTATAGGTACGGGTTTTGGAAAACCCCGATCAGAAAAACAAATACAAAAGATCAAAATACGCATTCTAACCCGGTATAACACGATGTCACAGCTTAGTAATCATTAAAAAAGGTAATGATGACTTTAAGAGCACTTTAGCTACGCAGCCATTGCATGCGATGGCGATGCCCCGCCACGGTGGTCTAGTGGCTAAGGTACTCGGCTGCTGACCCGCAGGTCGCGGGATCAAATCCCGGCTGCGGCGGCTGCATTTCCGATGGAGGAGGAAATGTTGTAGGCCCGTGTGCTCAGATTTGGGTGCACGTTAAAGAACCCCAGGTGGTCAAAATTTCCGGAGCCCTCCACTACGGCGTCTCTCATAATCATATGGTGGTTTTGGGACGTTAAACCCCACAAATCAATCATGCGATGGCGCTCACTAACACCTCCAAGTATAGAGAATAAATAATCTATATAAACAAACACCCAGTTATGCAAGTGAACGAAGCAGCCGCCCTAACAAAACACATGGCATGCATTGATACTGCGGTCGATAGCGATGAACCATTTGTATAGAGTGGAAAGCTTTCAAACAACCAAACAGTTATGCACTTTGCATCGCGTGGCACCTACCTTTGTTATTTTGGTCTTCTGCAACCCTGTATTGCATTTGTTTACAAGATTCCTTGTCCGACATGGCACTTGTGTACATACGGTTTCTTTGCGAAGAAGCTTCGAGCTCCGGCATGGCTCTGAGGTCGACTGGCTCGACTGCCGCGTAGAGGGTCTGGGTTCAAGTCCCACTTTATGCTGGATATGTTTTCTCATTGTGCGTGATAGCGGTTACAGAGTCGGGCGGCGGCGGCGAGGGACAGCTACACTCCCAAAAATTGACAGTTGGGATTTCATACCAGCATCCGCTGTAAAATTACTTTGTCTGTACGTTTTCGTGGGCTCAGTGTAGTACGCCATCCTCAAATAATGCTCACTGACACTTTAGTCCCGTCTTTCCGTCAACCTTCTCACACGGAAACGGCAGTGCTTCGTAGTCTTTAACAAAGGCGCGGACAGCGACGGTTTGAAGCACCGGGACATATATACTACAGTTACAACCTGCGCAGTGCTCGCTTTTATGGACCCGCCAACCACACGGTACCATTAAAGCGACCTTATCTGCATGTTCTTAAAGCTTTGTTTGATCTCTCTTTGCAATTTGCCACCATGTTTTAACAAAACGCGAAATACCTTGTGCACAAAAACAACAAAAACAAAACAGAGGTATGAGAGGTAGGATGCTTTTGGGTATACAGTGATAAAAGAACTACATCTGAGGCTGTATTTACACCAATAGCACTCACGGTTGCTTTAAAGTGTGGTCTCTGTCTGACCACTGCGCAATGCACGCATTGTTTAGACAGCACTCGACAGCATGGCCGAGCTTTTTAAACACTCTCGACGCGGCGGAGTGAACTTCACGCTTGTAATCTTTCCATCAGGCGCTCGGTGCGTGCACGTTATTGCACCGTTGTGATTTCCCGAACAACAAGTGTTGCTGGGAGGTGAATGGAAAGAAGGACGCACCACAATCTCACTCACTATCTGAATGATTGCACTATCATCATCAGCAGAATCAGCACGTATTTTTTTTTCTTAACGAGAAAAGATGATTATGGCGGCAATGATCTTGGCGTCACGTTCTGAATCTCGAAGTAGTGAGTTTAACTTCAGCTGTCTCATTTAATGCTGATGCGCTGGTCCACAAGTAAAGACACTTTCTATCTCGCATAAATGGGGCTTAGTAAAACGTATGAGCAACGGTGTATGAACGATTGCTGAAGTTATTTCTCCTGTTCCACATGATGCAATGAACGTCAGACATGACGCCATGAAAATTCATTCGCATGCTGTCACAGCAGATACCTGCACACACTCCTTTCCGCTTTTCATTCATCGCCGAAAGCGCTGAGCAATGCCGCTCGGTGAAGTGGTTTCTTGACAAACCTTGACAGCCAATGCCACGTTTTTGTACCACATAAAATGGGATAAGGAGGAAGCGTGAGGCTCAGAAGGCAAGCTGTCACTTGCACGCAGAAGCCGGATGACAAGTTACGTCACGTGCATACCTTCTTGACGTTGCACTGGTGGTGCTTCCATAAAAAAGCATGCCCACCTCCTGTTCGCGAGTCCGGGCCACCATGCGACATTTCATTTTTGTTTTACTCCCTCTTCTATACTTCCGTTACTCGTCTGGTCGTCTAATGACTGCAGGCGTTCATTGCAGCAATCAGGAACAGATAACGAAGGAGAAACGGCCGTCTCGTGAAAGTCACTTGTGTTTACAATACCCCACACTCCCCGTGACACGGACTTAGGTCCGTCTATAAGAACGTCGCTTCACGGGTAAAAAGATCTAGGGACACATAGCGTCGTTGTCAAGGAGCCTACCAACAAGCACACAAGGTGAGGAGTTCGCAGACGTGGTAGAGTTCTTTGCAACCCCGCTTTTTGGCGAGCGTATTCTTGCAGTGCACGCTTGACCCTGTTGCTATTCGCTGCAGTGATCTAGTGATTATGTTGCTTGATTACTAACCCAAATGTCGCGGTATTGAATCACAATCTTGGCGGCCTCTGTTCAATGAAGGAAAAATGCTTGATGCCTGTGTGCCTTTATTAGGTGCACGTTCAAGATTTCAAGGTGATCCAAATTTACGGAGCCCTCCACTGCGGCCTTTCTCATAATCATGCAGTGGTATTAGTACTTAAAACCCCAACAATTGTTGTGATCCCATTGCTCAACATTTCTGCTACTTGGCAATGAAATCGAGCTTTGAGAGATTCTGCCTAGTTCCGTGTTTCCTTTTCTTGCACAACCTCCAGTTATGTTTCTTTTTCTTCTTTTATCATTTTGTCTAGTACTCACTATATGTCAGGTTAGAGTAATCAGAAATAACGCGGAATAAGAACGTGGAATAGCTTCCTTAGCTACACCTCTGAAGATAGGATAGAGAAACATAAAGGTACAATGGTCGGTCTGAACTATGTGATTCAAACTAGCAACTGTGTTCGAGTCTTCGAGGCTCGATGAGAACGTCTCATTTTTTTTTCCTTCAGAGTAGTTATCTCACGAAATATTAGGGAGTTTGACTGACGGCATTGACCTACTTCGAGAAGTCAAGGGGTAGTAGGTCTTTAACAGTGATTGCCGTAAAACATTTGTAGGGTGGCATAACGCTGTAGTCAAGCTAAAGACAAACGGACGGTTGCAGCCTAAATGTTGCTTATGAGGATAGTTATAGCGCGAGAACAGTACGACGACGAAGAGACAAGAAGGACATGAAGGACACGAGCACTTTGTGTCCTTCGCGTCCTTAAATTGTCTCTTTATCATCATCGTTCTGTTCTCACGCTATAACTATCGTCATTTCATACCATCTAGCCCAAGCTGCCACACTTCTAAGTTGCTTATGAGACACAAGATACCATTGGAGCGCGTAAAATATTTAGACGACGTGAAAGTTATGGGTGGTGGGCTCCAATGCATTGTGTTTCCTTCTTTCGTCGTTTTGTACTTTATTAATAATTCTTGAGATGAAAAATCTTCGGAACACGGGGTGTCGTTCGAGCCGGCGCTTCAACTAACGGAGTTGACTTCTTCAAGGCTGCAACTTCTTAAGCTGCTGAAGCTTCGAGGCTGTTGCCAATAGGCCGTTTCAGCCTTGCAAAAAGACTTGTCCGCTAGTCGAGAGGATAACTCAAGAGGCACTCTGTGTTTCTTCAAGGATTTTCCATCTCTTCAAGATCACATATTTCCATGGACTTCTACAGACTATCTCAATAATGGTTGTTGGTGTTTTATGTCTCAGGAAATGAGGGACTCGTTGCGGTTTCACGTGTCAGGATTGTGAGAGACACTGTAGTGAAGGGTTCCATAAATATTAGCCACCTGGCGTCCTTCAACGTGCACTTAAATCTAAGTACACGTGCCTCTAGCATTTCGCCTCCACTTAAATGCAGCCCCCGCGGCCGTGATTCTCTCTCGCAACCCTCCGGTCAACAATCAAGCACCATAACTAGAAGACGACGCAGTTGGTAGTTTTGTGCGCTAAAAGGTGGGCTATATTTTAAAGATGCGCCACCAGCAAGCCCAAGTTGTCGCCTTTCGCATGATTTATTCGTGTACACATAAAAACAAGTCATGATTTGTTACAAACTTTCGTATGAACCCGTGCCTACGTCCTCCTCACTGCAACGATGGTGCATTTCTTCGCATAGTTCCACACAACCAGCCATGAAGACCCTGGTGATGATCGTGGTTGTCCAGGCCGTTTGTGCCACAGTCGTGTCGTCGTTCAGCTTCTCATCGCCGGACTGCCCGGCGCAGGCAGTGCCCGGTGTGACGCTCAAGGTTCCCGACCCGAACGACTGCTCCAAGTACTCGCTGTGTATGCAGCTGTTCAATATGAAGCTCGACTGTTCAGAGGGACAGCACTTCAGTGCCGCCGCTGGCAAATGCCTACCCGCAGCCCTCGCCGGATGTGACCCCGGTAAAGTACAATGGTCACACAGCTTCTACGTCGTAAGGATCTGTTCTTTGACTGACCCCCTCCGCTTATTACTCGTCGAGCCCCAGCGTCAAGTGGCTGAAATGCTTTGGATAGAGAAAACTATTAACTATCCTGCGAATTGGTGGCCTCAATCTTGTATCGCTGGCAGCTCCCTCGGCTTACTTGATCCCCCGAAAGTTGCAATATCTGCTCGCCGGTAAAATTCCGCCTCTTGGCCTCACAAACGGCTACAAGTACCGTTCATTTTCCCTGAGTTTGTCCAAGTTCAATGACATTGGAGAAATATTTCCGAAGACTTTGACAAAAAAAAAAAACCGCTCAACCACGTTACCAAGCTTGTACAAACTGATCTACTGGCTACGAAATGCTTTGTAGTGCTTGTGACGTTTCGTGAAGCTTAGCACAGCTTAGCACAGCAACGAAGAATGGTTCACTGTTTTATCAGATTTCACGAGGTTAAGATAGTGAAACAGCCCCCTCGGCTCCGCTGTACAGACGTGTCCACTGTTAAAGGTAACAGTGGACCCGTTAAAGGTAACAGTTGCATGCATTGCCTATCTATATTGCGCAGTCTTGGAAACGCATAGTGGCTTAGACCTGTATAAGGCTACTGTTAACAGAAAGTTCGTAATCCTCTTGACAGACTAGAGCCATGCATGAACCATGTTTTTATGTCCCCATTTAGTTAGGAAGCCCGCAATATGAAGCGTATTCATTCGAGTGTTCCCCTTAACAGTGGATCATAGTGTACATTGATTGTGGCGACTTCCAGATAGTTAACGTTACACACCATTTTTTTTTCGACGTTTCGAAAAGCGAGCGACATTCGTTATATCATTTAATTCTCTACAGCTGCTGCCATGCCCCAACCGCAAGCCGCTCCTCAGCCTGCCGCTCCAGCAGCACCAGCAGCACCTGCTCCAGCACCTGCCGCACCCGCACCTGCTGCAATCGCTGTGTAATACTAGCACCTGCCGGCCAGCGTGCTCTCAGCCTGTCTTGCGGAGTTCCACTCTCGGCCAAAATAAGTGGGCTATGCCGAGGGAACTGCTGATGAGAGAACAACGATCTTCAGCGGATACCCTTGATTGCACGACATAATAACAAACCACAAAGCTGAATGTAAATAAACGAATGCAGATGCTACGACACCACTACTGTATTAATCTCTCTATAGTTGATAATGATCTCTTGGTATTTCCTAAAGAACAGGGAGCCGCAAATGGTTTCCTAGCACGCGTGGACCAATTAGGCGTTGTGATAAGGTATTCTTCAAAAACGGATGTATTAATCATGCAAAAATAGTTGTCCCGCAACTTGCCTCCGTCGCCTCGGTCTAAACAGCGTTCGGCGAGCGATCAAACACAGCCGCAATGTTCTGTTTCACTTCAAGAGTAAAGCAATGCTTGTGTGGCCCAATACGCAGATGAGCGGTCGAAGCCATAGAGTTGGCATTTTTCGGTGAATATTCACTTGCTCTCCTTTTCCCGCCCCTACCGTTTCCTCCTCGCCCCCCTCAGTAAAACATCAAATAAGCTCTGGCATGATTACGAGTTTTTGAGTATGACGCAACACCAAATATGTATTGTCGCTCCGACGGGATCAGTGATTCACCATTACCGCCTTTCGCGTCCCCTTCATTCTCATGATACCTGAGTGGATGTTTATTATTGTGTATGACATCTGTCTATGCAAAACACGCACGGGAAAATGACTGCTTGGTTATCAGTACGACTTGCGCGAGTTAAAAAAAAAAGGAAGGGAAACGTCATTTGTGGCCTTTTCAGGCAAAGAGCGTAACTTTCGATGTCTCTGCATCAAGCAAACATTTTGACAGCTTCACACTGCCAGGCCGTTCGTGTCTCTTTTTTTCCTTAAATCTCTTTCTTGTACTCTTCTTCTTTTTCTTCCTCACTTTTCGAACCTTTTATTTCTTTTTCTTCCTTTTCTTTGATATTGATATACTGTATACCCGAATTCAATACAGGACAAGGAGAGAACACAGAAGCACAAGGCTATATCGTACTCTCACTATCCGGTATAAGATTATAAGCCAGCCCAGCAACGAATTTCGTTTCGCCATATCTTCCTGCTTCGATTTCTATCTCTTTGTTTTTCTCTCTTTATTTCTCTTTGTCTGCTTCTGTTCTACCTTGTGTTCGTTTATTTCCATTTCTTTGTCGATTTTTATATATTTTCCTCTTTTTTGAAGTTTATCTTTATTCTCTCTATTTATTATCTCTTTTTTTCTATCGCTTTCTTTTTCTCTCTTGTTTTCCATTTCTATTTTCTTTTAATTTTGTATTTCCTTTCATCTACATTCCCTCAATTTTCTCTTCCTCTTTCTTCATATAACTTTCTGTCTCGCTCTTTTTATTTCCCTATCTCTTATTTCACGCGTTCGTATCATTGGCGATAGCGACATGCATGGCTATACCCTTTGAATCGGGTCACCGGCGCTCCATGCGCGGCTTAGCTTGAACAACGTCAACAAACAACAAACAACACTCGCATCCTCTGCACGTGGTAGTGCTGCTTACCCAATTGCTCACCCAGAAATTTCGCACGACGGGCCACAAGTTACCAAAAAGCTTAAACAGTTTTACTGCAAAGAGAATAGAGAGAACGCGTGCCGATTCCTGACAGAAGTTTTTCTACACGACGCAGCGCAAGTTACCGGCAGCTTCAATGCATATCGCTGTCAATAAAGGCCTACATATATCTCTTCTTTGCGATGCGTATTTGCAAGGTACATGTCCACTATAGCAGTACAAGGAACGTCGTCCAGGCAAAACCCAGGGACCTTTCCTTTCACGACCACCACATTACGAATGCAGGAGTAGATTGCAGCCAAATTCAGTGTTCTCCGGTTGTCAGTGTCGCAAACATGGAGTATGAAAAACTGTGTAGACAGAGGGCATTATAGCATCAGTATTCTGCGAACATCCACTAGCTATTTACGTTTCCGAACACCTCATACGATTCCGACTCGGTGGTCTTTGCCCTTCAGGTATGCTTAAATATGCCTGTATGCCTCCACTAATGAGCACAGCAGGTTATGCTGCTATAGAGGCTCCAACGATATTTAATTCGAACTCACCCCATATGCATCCCACTTTCTTTCGACACTTACTGTCGAAACGACGTCATGCAGATTTAGAAAGCATAAGCAATTAGCAAACGCTACGTTTACGAACACTAACGACTCCCCACTTCGTAGCATGAGAACATCCATAATGAACATGAACATAATGCGCTGCAGGCAAATGTCAGATCATGATAATGTACTCAAAAGGCTTCGCTTCACAATACGCTTCATGGAGACGAGCATTGTATGCAGACGCCCCAACTATATGAATCGCGAAGGAAATCATTCTTTTTTCGATTGTGCCCACGGTGCTCCTGCAGTATAGGTCTTATACTGTTTGTGGTCTGTAGGCATCCCGCACAGGTCGAGGGCATCGCCTCCAAGCAACGAACTTTACGAAGGGCTGAGTGAAGTTGCGAATCTTCATAAATTGACTCACATGCGCATAATTTGTCATTACCATCCGTTGCTGTGCGCCTGTTATTAGCCTCGCTATTTGAAGGTGCATGTATAGGAATGTGGCTTCCCCAGTGAATCGGAAGGCACACTACATACTTTCACAGCAATTAAATCAAACACCACACAAACTAAAAAAAACGTAAAAAACCTACGTTCACAAAAACACAGTACAATGAAAAGAAAAATAATTAGTCTGCAAAACTCCCGCTATGTAAACCGATATTTTCTAAACCAGCACGTCGTTCCAACGCCGACAAGCGTCGCCAAAAACATAAAAAGTATTTGCAGCTGATCATATATTATGGCATACACGTTCATTTCCAGACATATATTTATAGTTCTTCGGCAGTTTCTACCTATTTTTCTAAAACACGCGTGCGTCGAAATTTCCGAAATACGTTCACGGGAAAGTGGTGCGATAGCAGTATACACCCGGCCAACGCTATCGTCAGAAAACCCGACACTTGCGCACGGGATTGAGCGACGTCTCCGGTTGGCAGCCGAACGTCTCCGAAAACCTCCGGAGGTGCCGCAGCGGCGCCGAGCAAGGGTCCACGTCCGCGCTACGCTCGTTGGGAGGTGAGGCGCACTTCATCAGACACCAGGAGATGAAGAACGTCTCTTCCGCCGAGTAATGACCGAGACCCTCGCGATTCTGACGCTTCCGGTCAAAGGCTTCCTGGACGGCATCCCGTAGGGCCTCGAGGGCGACCGCCTCCAGCATGACGTCGTCCCGCGGCGCGATCGACATCGTGCGGGCGTCTCTGGCGAAGCACTCGCGAGACTCGTCCAGATGCTCCTTGGTCGCATCCAGCCTGCCGTAATAGTCGAGGGCGATCTCTGCCGACGCGCGAGACAGCAGGGCGCCGAGCGTGCCGTACTTGATCGCGACCGACATCTCCGCGTCGTACACTGGGAATGTCAGCGCGAAGGGCAACATCACGAAGTCCTGCGCGCCCTTCTTGACGGTGTAAAGTTGGCTGTTCATGATGGCGTCGACCGTGTCCAGAACGTCGGCGTTAGAGTCCGCCAGGTAGCGCAGCCGCGACGCGTTCCTCCAGTTGCGCACGAAAGACGACGTCATGTCTGGATAACCCACGAACGGGGCGCGCAGGTCACGACCTACCGGGTAGTCAAACGCCTCGAACACCCCCTTGACGGAGGCCCACTCGGTGAGCATGGTCGTGCTGCCGGAGAACGCCGGCTGGGCTTTGAAGCGCTCGGTGAACGCTTTGCGCACAGAGAACAGCAACTTGGCGACGTCCGAGCGCACGCCCGACCTGAGAGCTTGCGTGCTGTACGGCACGAAAACGGCGTCCCCAACCACGCCGTACGTGAACATGAGACAGATCGATGGCGAGGAGGTCCAGCTGGGGAGTCGGGTACTGCCGACGGCGGCGAGCACGGCGTCTCGGCTGGTGAATATCGAGACGTACTGAACAGCGCACCAAGAGACGTACAAGTGCATCCTATCGTTACCGTATTCTTCCCAGAGCTCACTGAACGCGTCAACGAAAGACGGACTTCTCGTGGCGAACCGTAGCGCCCCGGTGACGTTGCGCCTCGCCAGCGCGGCGGCCCACGCGCTTGCACCGGGGTGCATTTCGCTAGAGTCCAGCATGGTCCAGTTTTGTAACGAGAGAGCGTCTTTCAAGCGTTTCCTCATGAGGAGCTCGGCGTCCTGGACGTCACTGTAGGTGACGTTGCCGACGTCGCCGTTTCCGTAATGCCGGACAAGAGCGTCAAAATATCTCTTCTGCTCGTGCTCGCTCGACGTTCGAGGCTCGGTCAGAGCCAGCAGCCGCGCAAAGCCCGCCGACGGCTCGACGATCACGGTGCTCGAATGCGCCGAAGTGCCCTTGACCCTGAAGTCGAGGACTGCAGGCCAGCCCAATTCTAAAGCGAGAAACAAGCTTGTCTCCAACACGTCCGGTTGGGACGGAACCCACGGCCACACGACGCCGGCCTCGGCTAGGTACTCCCTGACAAGGTCGACTTCGTCACTCGCCGGTCCGGTGTCTGCCTTCACGAGGGACTCGTAACAGGACCGGAATAGAGCCGCTGTTTGCTCGCCGGCGTTCTGGTTCGTGTCTGGGATGGTGGTTCTGGACACCGACTCGACGGTGGCCTCGATCGCCGAGCGGAACACCGACTCCCTCACCGAGATCATGTGCTTGCTGCGCCAGCCGTCGCACACGAAGCGGCCGAAGCTGTCGCAAGGGTTCATGGACACGTTGACGGAGTCGTCGAGCAGCTTCGAGAACGCGGAGCAGGACGCCGTGGTGCACAGTTCGCGCTTGAGGTTCGACTGGACGGCGACGAACACGATCACGATGGCGATGGTGACGGCGAGGAAGAGCGCGACCAGTGACAAGAGGTCCCTCTGATCCGATGGCTCCGGGACGGTGGCGGTGCTGGCGCGCGTCATCTGTACGGCGACGTCCTGGTTCGGCTGCAAGAACGCGTGTTCCTTTGTCAAAACTCGAGAAATCCGTCTCTGTCCAGACTCTCATACGAATAAAGTGCACTTATGACAGTTTGCGATGTTACGAGAGAGACCACGAACCTCTACAGAACCTAGCAGACTGAGGCACTCGGCAGATTTTCTGAAGGCGTGTGTTTAAGATGAATCTAGCGAGATCAACGAGATGTGCAGGCGGGTCTGATATTAAAGGGTGATCTGATCAGAATGCACACGTGTAATGTCATCTGTAATCTTAAGCAAATTAATGATGTTGTTATGTTACCTCTTGATACTGTATACCAACTGTAATGTATTCTTTTCGTTCCCCTTCCCTTACAATAATGCTCATTGAGGTTGTAGGTAAATAAATAAATAAATAAATAAATAAATAAATAAATAAATAAATAAATAAATAAATAAATAAATAAATAAATAAATAAATAAATAAATAAATAAGGAAACAATTGCATTTAGGACACGGCCGGATTTCATCTCTTGTCAAAACATAGTGGCATAGCTTGGCAAAGGCTAATGATGGTAGTGGTAGCTAAGTGGACCATTCAGTAGATAAAGCTGGGCGGAGGAACATCACCGAAAGAAGGCCTACTCGAGGCGACTGAAAGAAAATAGGGCCCCCAAAAGTAAAAAAAAAACGATTGGCCGATACGTTTATTTGACGATTACTAGACGTAGTTCATCAGGAGGAAGTGGCAAAGGATAGGCCGCTTTAAATAGACACTCGTTAACTGGCGGATTTTTTAAGCACCAAAGCTGATGAATTTCCTGCGGCAAAATCTAACTGATGGAAGGATAAAATTTTTGTTTCCGCAAGTGTCTCGTACTACAGGTTTAGTCGACGCGTTGTTGGCATCATGTCGGTCGATAAGCGGCCCAGTTTTGGGCGTACGTTTTTCGGCCACAGCTACTGTAGTCGGAGGCACCTCGACGGGTGGCCTAGGTGTTGGTGCTTCTGGCCCTGGTGGCAGTGCTACCACTTGTTCCTGCGAATGCACCATGTCAACTCCTCGAGTTTGCTCTCTCAATCATCATGTGGTCTTCGTCGGTGACAGAACCACCCAACAAGACAGTTCAGTAAACCAGAAAAAAAGTGGGGCTAGTTTTTATTTAACTGTTCCGACACTATACGGTAATGAAAAGACTAAAGTGCATATCACGAAAGTATAACGCGTCATATATGGTTCTTGTTTTTAATCCTCCGCATTTCACCTTCTTTTCACCAAGTTCATCTTCTGTTCCTTTGTACAATTGTGTTCAATAAATAATAAAAAAATAGTTTAGCTAGAGTGAGATGGCACTCCTCCGATCAGCTTAAATTAACTCACAACAGATTCTTTGCAACTACTTTACAACTGAAAAGTTAGAGGCCTTGCACCGTGCGATGTCAGTGCAGATTTCGAGCGCACGACGACAGCTAGTGCACGGACACCGTATAGAAATTTCAGAGCCACCCACTACAGAGGGCATTGTAATCATATTATGGTTTTGCAAGTGAAACCCCGGGTATAATTGTTACAGCGTACTATAAGATTGAAGACAAAGAAAAATCCGGTGTCCCTCAATAGACACATCAAAATATATATAAAAACGCTCTAAATGGCGCCAACAACGCAAAACGGCGCCGAAATATCAAGATCGGTGACATAGACACCGTTTCGCCTACAGATGTTCTGTAAATCAAAAGAACGTTTGCCGGTTTCACCGTTAAAGCTCGAAGCCCCCTTTGCTAAGGGCCACAATGTGGCAACTCGTGTCCAGCGTGACTGTACCTACCTGCAGGACTGGCTTGACCTCCCCCTGCGGTTTTTCCTTTGCCTCTTCGAGCTCCTGCGACTCGCCCTGAGAACGCCTGGACTTGTCCATCCTTCCGTCCAAAGTGTTCTTGGGTGGCTCCGACATCTGGTCCTGAGCTGGCTCCGTGTTAGTGTGCTGGGCCTCTTCAGCAGCGGCATTGTGGCGCGAGTCACGGCTTGACTTTCTGCAGCGGCTGCTTTTGCGCGACTTGGACACATCAGAGGCCTTCTCTTCGTTCTCCATCGTCCCCGGCGATACGACCGAAGTGCCAGTCGATGTAGAGGTAGATGTGCTAGCGCTCACAAATCAAAACTTCTTCTGAATGGCGTAAGCACAGCGGCGCGTGCTTCCGACGATGACGACAATAATGAGGACAATCATGATGGTGGTTGCTAATGACCATGAGGATGATGGTTCGGTATTTTGTTGGGACCTAACTACACAGGGGGTTGAACAAGAGTCGCATTAAACCCCTGTCCCCAGAAGGACGCGTTCACAGCGGTGTACATTAAAGGAAAAAAAAAACTCCTAGCTATGTTGGTTGTACCAGTCAGCATGCTTGTTGTCCATATATGTGCAACAGCATATAAGTGTAGTATCCTGACGCACGGAGACCAAAGGGCCCGGTGCCCGGGCCGGAGCGCGGGCCAAGAAGAAGGGGAGAGCAGAAACCGAGACCCAGGCTGGCACTCAGGAAACTCTTTTATTAACAAGGGCGCCGCAATATATAGAGCACGGTAGCGCCCCCTAACACATGTACTAAAACCCGGAACCCGAAACCACTAAACAACAATATGGACTCCAACAAGAAATATGACACACAATTCTTTTTGTTCGGCGTGGACATCACTTCTCATTGTGATTGACATTTAAGCACCTGCCAAGGTGTTCTAGTGGCTGTGGTGCCCGACTGATGACGGCTTTATTTTCTGTAAAGGCACAAATGGTTGAGGCCCGTGTACTTAGATTTGGGTACACGCTAAAGAACCCGGCTGTTCGAAATTTCCAGTCCTTTACAACGGCGTTTGGCATAATCATATTGTAGTCTTGGACGCGAACCGCTAACAACTCTTACGACTTGGGCAATGAATAATGAGACATGCCTGTAAAATTGAAAGTGTTTATAAAATCCGCCGTTTTTTCATTTTCTTGTACCAGCTTCCGCCGTTTTAGTTGGGCCCTAATAAAGGCCTGGTAAAACTTGTACCAACACTTCGAAGGCTTCCGACACCAAGAGGCGATTTGCAGGTTTCCACTCGAGGGGCGCTCAGAGGCAGCCTTGCGACGGATGTGCCAGTTGTCACGTGACCATAGTGTGGTGGCAAGCTTTGGCCTGGGCGGAGCCTATACGCACCATGACGTCGCTACAAGCACATCAGTAGGACGATGGTGCCTGTCACTATTTAAAAACATGTAGTCGTCAATATTAACCATTATTTGTCAATGAAGACTATAGTAAGCGCTTATCCGGTGTTAGGTTGTGCTAAACTATGCTGGTAGTACGCCATACCAGGACATCCACACGAGCTTAGTATTGACAGTTCACAAATAAAGGAAATGTAAAGCTACCAAGGTGCCCATCGCAAACACTTCTGTTTTTACAGCGGTGCTGTTAGGCTTTACAAGGGACTATTAAACTCCCGGGTCACGTGCACCAATTTGTCATGCGTTGGATGCGATAACACTGATAGGCGTGATAATGCGTACGAAGAGAGAGACGCTTAGAAACAGACAGAAAAAGGGAGAAATGAAAGCGGGAGAGAAAAAAGGAAATGAAAGAGAGAGATAAGTAAAAATATAGAGATAAAGAAATACATATACGAGGCAAAAATACATTGAAAAAGCAGAGAGAAATAGAAAAGGAGAGCAAAGAGAGGATGAAAGAAAGAGGAAATTAAGCGCAACAAAGCACACCGTGTAGCTCCACACTTCAGGTAAGTGCAACTTAAGTCTGTTTCTTTTTCGAAAATTCATTTTGTACATCACATATGCATATACGTATTTTTAGCCGCTTTTCTATTAATGTTTCTTTTAATTTTACGAGGTTATAATGTTCGTGAGAAATTGATAAACTATATTCATTTTTTCAGCTCGTTCCTTCAGCCAGTGAAGTTCTTCAGTGAGGCACAGTCCGATTGGCCTATTCCCCGAGTTGGGTTGCGGCAAGTATTTGATGAACAAGAGCGAAAAATCCCCTCAGGTTTGACAACACCTGTGTGAAGTTGCTTTAATTTATTTTAGGAAGTCCCCCCCCCCTCCCTCTATTTCTTTCCTGTAGCGGGTGTGCGCCATCCTTGAGAAGCAAGGATGCGCGCTGCATGCTCCGCGTGATGTCCTTGCGTTCGATCTCGTGAGCCGAACCAATGGTTGCGTTCCGAAGGAGCTCGCCGTCTGACATCGTCGAGCGCTACGCTAGTACCTGCAGCTGCGCTACCTTGATCGACAGCATCGTCGTCTCTCCCGCAAGCACGCGTGATGGTAGACACAAAGACGGCACCCGTCAGAAATGTATGTTCTTTCTTTACGTCGCGAAGTCTGACTAGGGGTGGCACCAGTGGGGTTGGTCTTGGGACCCCCCGAAAATTTCCGCCTGCCCCCCCCCCCCCCCCCCCAAGAACGAGCATAGTCAAAACACAACGCATATGTTCCCAGCCTCTATGCCCCCAGAAGGAACTAGTGTTGCATTCTGCGTTTTCGGTTTCGGATTGACATGTGAGGATGCCAGGGGGTGCCGCTCTGGCATCATTCTAAGGCGACTGTAAAATAAAGGCAATGTGTGTTAGGTAGCTGTGGAGTGCGGTTGTGTGCTTTTCTTTCGGCGCGTCGCGCCAACCCGCGTGTTCGGGCTGGTCGGTGTCCCTGCCGGCCGCGTACGTCTCCGTCGGCCGTCTTCTTCTTCTTCTGCTTCGTCGGGACCAGCCAGCCCCCAACACAGCAATGGCGACGAGGACTTGTAAGAACCCATTTCGTTCTCCGTGTTCGTGCTAACCCTAGACGCTCTTTGTTCCCAGCAAGGTGGCTACTGCGTGCTGCGTCGCTTCATTCCTTCTTCATTCAACTACGCCGCCTCTGCCTTCGTCTTCAAATAGTGAACTGGCGTCATTTTCTTCTCGACTGCACCTCTCCATTATTCTTGCTTGAAATGGCGTCTCCCATTCCACCTCCCCTGTTTCTTCATTCGCCCGGAGACCCGCCACTTCCGTGGGCGGACTGGAAATTGGTGTTTCAGGCTTACGCAGACGCGGTCGGGGAGGACGCCAGCAAGCCCGAGCGTCGCAAGGCCCTGCTGCTCAACGCGTTGGGCCCTGCCGGGTTAAAGCTCTTCTATACCTTGGAAGCCACCAACGCGTCGCCGACGCCAGCGTCGCGCGATGCCTTCAAGAATGCAGTTGCTCTTTTCGATGAGCATTTTAAAGATGTCTCGTGCGATTATCTCGCACGCGTAAAATTCCAAGAAAGGCGACAATTGCCTGGTGAGCCAGTCGCCGAGTTCATTACTTCTCTTCGAACGCTCGCCGCGTCGTGCGGCTTCGGCGCGCTCGAGGACGATATGATCCGCCATCAGCTTTTCACCGGGGTAGCCTCGCAAAACGTCCGCTGCCGCATGCTTCAAAAGGGCTCCTCGATTTCATTATCTGAAGCCCTCTCGATTGCGCGAGAGGATGAGCTTGTTCGCTCCCAGTTGGAGCAATTCGCTCCGCATTCAGTGCAGCAACTTTCTGCTGCGGGGGGCCAAGGCGGCGGCTCTTCGTTTCACGGGACGCGTCAACATGGCGGCCCTTCATCTTCGTCTCGGCGCGGCGGCCAACATGGTTGCCCCTCTGCGTCACGGGGGCGAGGAAGCCGACAATATGGCGACCCCATTCCGCCAAATTCTGGTTTTCAGGAACAGCACCGATCTCCTAATTCGCGTTTGAAAATTTCTTCTCCAAGCGCAACCGCGCATTGCTTTCGTTGTGGATCGGCTCGGCATTTAGTCAATTTTGCGCAGTGTCCCGCGAGAAACCGCACTTGTCTTGCGTGCGGAAAAATCGGACATTTTCAGTCCGTATGCAATTCCCGACCAGCAAATCTTCCGGAACCAGTTTCTTCGTCCGCTCCTTCGAGCACTGCACAAACCAATACGGTCACTGTTTTAAATGTGGATGGCCTCCACACTACGTCCGAGCCCAGCATCGTAGTTTCAGTGGGCCATGTGCCCTTGTCATTTCTCGTGGACACTGGTGCCGCAGTCTCTTTAATCAGTGCCGCTGACTTTCACAGTCATTTTTCCAACATTCGGCTTTTGCCTTCACACGTCGTTCTACAAACATATTCCAAGGGAACGATTGATAATTTAGGTCAATTTACAGCTCAGGTCTCCTATTGCAGTCGCACTGCTTCCATTACTTTTTATGTAACAGCCAATGGCAGCTCACTTTTGGGACGTGATGCCATCAGGGCTTTGTCCATCAACATCATCGGTGCGTCTATGACGTGTGCTCAAGTCGACGTCCCAGATGATCTTCCGGCCAACGCGCCTTCTGAATTCCACCACCTGTTCACCCGTGAACTGGGTTGTGTGCGTGGTTTTGTGCATAAAGTGATGCGTCGACCAGGTGTGTGCCCTGTGCGTGCCAAGCTGTGCCGCATTCCTCTTCTTCTCCGTGAGCAAGTCTCTGCGGAACTGTCTCGCCTTCAAGCCAGCGGAATCGTCGAGCCTGTCTCTGCTTCCGACTGGGTTTCTCCACTGGTCGTCGTCAAGAAAAAAGATGGATCCCTTCGACTATGCATCGACTTACGAGAACCGAACAAGGCAATCGTCGTAGACGGGTTTCCACTTCCTCACATTGAAGAACTGTTTCATCAGCTCTCCGGAGCAGTATGTTTCTCCAAGCTGGACCTCGCGTCCGCTTATCACCAAGTTGAACTTTCTGAGTGCAGTAGAGACTTGACCACATTTGTATCGCACGAAGGCTTGTTTCGGTTTCGCCGCGTGTGTTTCGGGCTTGCATCTGCCCCTGCAGTGTTTCAGAAAATGATGTCAATTATTTTTAAGGGTTGTAATGGCGCCCTTTGTTACTTGTATGATATTTTGGTGTGGGGACGTACTCGCGAAGAGCACGATGCTAACTTGCATACTGTTCTCAACCGCATCAGTGAATGTGGTATGAAACTTAATAACAAGTGCATTTTTTCTGTGAATGAGTTACAATTTCTAGGACATAATGTCAGTTCCCGCGGCTTGACACCTGTTGAATGTAAAGTTCAGGCCGTTGTCAATGCCCCACGGCCTACTGATGTTAAAACCTTGCAATCTTTTTTAGGTCTTGTTGGTTATTATGCCAAGTTTGTTCCTCACTATGCTGATGTTGTTGAACCACTGTGTACTCTACTTCGTCAAGCACAGCCTTTTAACTGGTCAGCTGAAGCTGAGCAGAGCTTCATTCAAGTTAAGTCAATACTGGCCTCAAAGCCAGCTGTTATTATTTTCAATGAGAAGCTTCCAATCGTCATCACGACAGATGCGTCCGATGTTGGACTGGGAGCAGTGTTTCAGCAACTCAGAGATGATCAGCTGATCACTATTGCTTTTGCATCTCGTACATTGACCCCTGCTGAACGCAGATATTCAGTAGGAGAGCGTGAAGCTCTCGCGTGTCTTTTTGCCTGTGAGAAATGGCATGTTTACTTGTGGGGCCGGCACTTCACATTACGTACAGATCACCAAGCACTAGTTGCTCTTCTTTCTGCAGGATCCGAAGGCCGCCGCCCCATTAGCACTTCCCGTTGGTGTGCCAAACTCATGTATTATAATTTCAGTGTTCAATATTGTAAAGGTTCTAATAACGTGGTTGGTTGCTGATGCACTGTCACGCCTTCCTCTTCAGATACCGGTTACTGAAGAGCGGGATGAGGAAGTTGTTTCATTAGTTACTTCCTGCATTACTAAAGCTGAGCTTCAGGCAGCTACAGCTGCAGATTCCACTTTGTCTCAAGTTCTCAAATATTTACGTGAAAGATGACCTTCCAAATGTGCTCTTGCTTCTGAATTCTTGCCTTACTTCGCAGTCCGACAGGAACTGTCTTGTGTCGAGGACTTGCTTTTCCGCGATGAACGTGTGATTCCCCCTGCTTCTTTCCGTAACAAGCTAATACAGCTTGCCCATGAGACCCATCCAGGCATTGTCCGCACCAAACAGAATCTCCGAGACAGGTACTGGTGGCCAGCCTTAGACAAGCAGGTCGAGCATGCAGTTTACAACTGCCATATATGTCAGGCAGCTGACAAGTCTGCCAAACCTGCATTTTCTCCGTTGCAGCCAGTCCAGTGGCCTGATCGGCCTTGGCAGAAACTCGGCATGGACATCATCGGTCCTTTGCATAATGTTCCGCGAAATGCCCGGTTCATTATTTCTCTCATCGACTACCATTCCAAATGGCCAGAAATTTGTTTCACACATACGGTTACTTCTGAGGTCATCATTGAGTTTCTGTCTTCAATCTTCAGCCGGGAAGGTTTTCCTGATGCCATAGTTACGGACAATGGTCCACAGTTTCAGTCCCAACATTTCGAGGCTTTTCTTTCTCAACGAGGAATTCAGCACTTGAGGTCATCAGTTTTCTATCCCCAATCAAATGGGCAAATCGAGCGCTTTAATCGCATTCTGAAGGAACATATCCAGATCGCCCAATTAGAGCACCGTCCCCTCAAGCAAGTCTTGACGGAATGTTTAGCTTCGTACAGGTTCACACCACAAGGCACCACTGGAGTGTCTCCTGCTCAACTTCTCCACGGTAGGCAACCGCGAGTTGCTCTCGACATAGTCTCTTTGCCTCGTAACATAGCAGTGTCTTCTCCTGATCAAATCCGCACCAGGATTTTTTCTCGTCAACAAGAAATGAAAAAGTATGTCGACACCCGTCGAGGTGCAAAGCAGTCCAAAGTTCGCACTGGCGATCTAGTCAAGGTTCGTGTGCCAGGCAAGCGCCCCAAGTATCGGGGTCCTTACAAAGTCTTGGGCCAGGTTAGCCCCACTTCTTTTCGCTTAAGTGATGGTAACATCTGGAATGCTTCGCGCCTTGTTATTTTTCATACGGATTCGCCTTCAACACCTAAAAGTCTTCCTCATCACGTTCCGTCCACGCCTTTCAACTACGCATCAGACTACTACCTGTGGCCTCCATGTACAGGCATTTCTTCAAGGGGGGAGGAGTTACCAGTCGGTGTCGCTGGTTCAAGTACACTAAGTCATATGGTTCACTTCGAACCTTCAAATTCGGCTGAGACCGTTGAACCGGACTCCAGTCCGCAAAATTCTTTCGAAGCTCATGCTGCGAGCTCTGATGAGACCGCGAATTTTAACGCTCGTTCAGAGCCTTCACAATCATCTTCTGCTCTTGCACCTGATTCTACACCCAAAAGGGCCCGCCCTAAGCGGAAGCGGCAGAAGCCGCGTCGGTTCGAAGACTACGTGACGTAGAACTACAAATCTATACTGTACTGAGTTGTATAGAATTTTTTAGTGAATTTTCAGGACTTCCAATGTACATATTTCAGTTCATTTTCAGGACTCGTAGTGTGTGAGTTCAGTGTGCCGTGCTCTGAATTTCATGTGTTCTAATTAATGTACATACTTTGTAAAATATGTTGGTATCGAGCATGTTTAAATATAAACAGTGTATAGGTGAACTTTTTTCGAGGAGGGGATGGTTGTTGTATTCTGCGTTTTCGGTTTCGGATTGACATGTGAGGATGCCAGGGGGCGCCGCTCTGGCATCATTCTAAGGCGACTGTAAACTAAAGGCAGTGTGTGTTAGGTAGCCGTGGAGTGCGGTTGTGTGCTTTTCTTTCGGCGCGTCGCGCCAACCCGCGTGTTCGGGCTGGTCGGTGTCCCTGCCGGCCGCGTACCTCTCCGTCGGCCGTCTTCTTCTTCTTCTGCTTCGTCGGGACCAGCCAGCCCCCAACACAGCAAGTAGCTTGTCGTGGATGCCCACCAGACAGAGAATCCTGGCGCCGCCCCCGAGTGTGACCCGGTAGCCAACCATCTGGCCGTGCCTAGCCGCATGTCAGATTACATTCGCATGGCTCGCGGTGAGGGCCCCTTTTCCGCGTGCAAATTATATAATTAAAATAATGTTTGTTGAGGTTTAATAGTTTAAAATCACGATATAATCATAAGACGCTGTAGTAGAAGGCTCCGGAAATTTTGACCAGCTGGGGTTCTTTGAGGTACGCCTAAGTAAAAGCACACTTGCCTCACTTAAGCACTTTTGCCTCCACTGAAAATGCGGACGCAGCGGCCAGGATTTGTTGCCGTGACCATCGGGTCAGCAGCCTAGTAATCTATAACTACTATAAGCGCTAGACCGACGAGGCGGGTCTCCCGTGCACAAGGCGTCGTGGAACTAACAATGACGAAAGTGATGACAAAGGCGGCTTTAACGAGTCCCGATTGCGCAATCCCCTTCTTCTCTTGAAGGCGAAGCTCGAGCGTCCTCCAAGTTTGAATGAACTACGTACGCTCCACGCATGTATCATGCATCTTGCAGGTGGACATATTCGTGTCGCCTCCCGCGACGACCCCCGCCACAGGACTTACACTGAGAGAGAAGGCGTCGTCGCACCTGCAGCAGTGCCCTCTATGGCTGCCATTGGCAATAGTGGTGATTGTGGTTTCCCTAGCCGCTCTTTTCGCCATGCTTCAATGGCGCTCGAGACCCATTCACTGCTCGAGCAACGCTTGTACCGCATTTGCCAAGCTCCTCAAGTCCTCCATGAACAGGTGACAATGCATGCTTCGCGAGGAGCTGTAGCTTTTGTAATAAGAAAGCAAATCCAGCTGGTATACGAGCAGGTTTCCGAGCTAAACGTGGATAGCTCGATGCACCCAAACTTTCCTGCCACATGTACATAACTATAATCTTTTCATGCGCTGATGCAGTGTGACTTCTTTTGATGTGATCCGGGATGCACCCACCTACATACCCGAGTATGAATGGTGAAACAGCGCAGGATAAGACTAAGACGACTGGACACAAACTTGGCGTTTAACAACCACGTTGCATAGCGTTTGGACGTCAATACGCAGGAAAACAGTAATCATACATATTATGGGATACCTGCACAAGGCTAAATAACTTTTTGATAAGTACAGGTAGAGTTAAAAGTTCCCCAGGGCATGCTGCCATAGAAATACAAGGGATAGTGACCTGGCAACTTTTCGCACCCCCTTTTATACATGTGATTTTTGCGAATCGTGAGCAAAGCCACACCGACACAACGTCCTCAACTATTTTCATGTTGTCATACACTCTTTCATCGTTTAAAATCAGCATGCGCTTAGTGCCATAGCCCACTTTTAGACATTTCGCGCACAAAATGCGAAAAATCTTTTGAGTAGCCATATGTACGTCGGCTCATTAGCACCATGTACGAGCACATGAGGTTGGCCAAATAGCTTAGTAGTGCGGCAGTATATATACATACAGTATTTCACATGTGTTTATGTTGGAATATACATAGTATATCTCGGTTACTTCATCCCAGCAGCTCTGTGAATCCGTGCCACAGCTTCGGCCGCTTCGTCTGCGACGGCTGGAAACTCAGCAGCGCCCTGTCGGTGCGTGCGCTCTACTACAGAAATGCCCTGGAACTGCTCATGCGCACGGCCAAGTCCACGGAGGTGCCTGTCAGCCACCAGAACGCTCCGCAACAGGCAGCAGCGCTGCTCGCCACCTGCGACCGCGTCAAGAAGGGCGAGCAGGACGAGATCGAGGTCGTCAAGCGGTACCTCGCCGAGGCTGGAGTCCTGTGGCCCGAGCAGGCCGCCAATCCGGAAGTGATGAATACTATGCTCTATCTGGACGTCGAGCTCAACTGGCCCGCGTTCCTGCACTTCCAACTGACGGCAGATACGGGCCACGCAGTCGTCTTCATCACGGTGGCGAGCTCGTTTTACAACATTCACCACGCCAGCGCCCAGCTCACGAAAGACGGGCGACGGTCCTACTTCGACACACTGTACAAGCACTACACCGGCAGATCCACCAGGGACGACGTCGCCTTCGGGGAAGTCCTGGAAGCCGACGTCGCCGTCGCTCCGCTCAACTACTTCCTGCGAAAGGGCCCGTACGTTTGGCTAAGAGACGAGGACTTGTTCCCGAGCGCCGCCGATTGGCTTCTCGCGCTCTCACGGAGGTTCGGCAGGACTTTGCCGGCGGACGCACGCTTCCTCACCGACAACGAACGCTTCGTCACGCAACTCTTCGCCCTCTGGAGCAAGCTCGGGGAGCGCATGATGCACCGATGCGTCTCGTGGCATGCCGTGCAGTACGCCGCCCTCACCGCGAACAGCGAGCTGTTGCACAACATGTACGGCAAGGACCTCAAAGAGCATGGCCTCGAGTTTCGCAAGCTGTGCCTGGTCCTCAGCTACAGAAGCATGGGAGACCTAGTCTTCGCAGGGTTCACCGACTCGTTTCCCCTTCCCCTCTTCCGCGATGACACCAGGGCACTCGTGTACGCGGTGCGCCGCGGCTTCACCAATCGTGTCACCGACAGGAAGCCGTTCTCGCGGAACGTGGACATGGTGGCGCGCTGGTCCTCGGTGGAACCAGTCTTCGCTGTACTGGACCACAAACGTCACGTGGACTACCGGAAACCGGTGCCCGGTTTTCCCGACATGAACACGACGCACTTCGTGCCCAACTGGCGTATCATGGCTCAGGCGTGGCGCTCGGGCGCTTCGGTGAAAGGCAAGTTGGACGTGCAGGACATCCTCCGCTACGGCTTCTTCAGCATCGACTGGAACAACGAAGACTTCGTTTTGTCGCCTTTCGCATTGTCCTTCCCTCTGTATGACGTGGAGCTCACACCGGCGCTCAAATATGGCGGGCTCGGTAGTCAAGTAGCGCTGGCGTCTTCTGTCGTCTTGCTCCACCACTACCAGCAGCACGCCCATAACGACTGGGACATGGCAACGTACCTTCAGTGAGTAATTCTTTTAACGGGACACTGAAGAGAAACATCGAATTAGTTTACGTTGATAAACTACACTCTAAGAACTCCTATGTAATTTCGCTATATGATGGGTTTATTAGAGGGAGGACAAAATCAGTCATTTTTGAAGTTTCGCGTCGAGATCTGTGCGTGGTGTCTTGCATTTCTAGGTCGATTCTCACGTTTAGTTTTCCGAAACATGGAATGTTCAGTCTACGACCCCCTCAGAGGACGATGCACTTCATTTTTACCTATTAGAAGCTTTGTATCACCTCGGAGACGCCTTCTAAAACTATGATGTCACTGCATTTGGTGCGGGAATGGCAAGGTGGCCCCGCCACACCCATTTTCGTTTCGTGCGTTTTATCACTTCTTATCGCACGTCTTCTAGCGGTAAGAGTCCATCGCAATGTAAAACCTTAATTTACTAATAACGAAAAAAAATCGTTTGTCTCAGTGTGCCTTTAGAAATATATGGATAGAAAGACAGGGTAGAAAAGTATGAATGCCAACCTGCAGATTGATTGAAATCCCGAAATAGAGTTTTTGTTCAACGGGGGTGCTTCGACGCATAATGACCACATTGGATGCCCCAGGAAAGAAAGGCTTCAGAACTATCCCCAAAACAAAGCGTCATCAATCACAAAAGCCAAGAAATTAAAGTGAACGCCATTTATTAAACTCACAAAGTTGATTTTCTGTGAATCCGCAGGCCACACGTATGAACACCCCCCCCCCCTCCTTTTTTTTAGAACATTTCAGCCAGAAAGTCAGTATCACGACCCCCTCTATAAAAAAGTTTATAGCGGAGGTCGTGGTCAGTATATAGAAAATAAATGTTGAGGTTTTCCTTTAATGAGTAGATTCAGTTTGATTAGTGGAGTCTACGTAATACAAGCCCAATTTCTGATAGTAAAATCTGGTTTATCATGAACAGACTAGCACCATTTTGTTGCGGATCCGTTTGTTTTTTGTTTTTTTTTAAGCTTACACAAGCGCATGCACTGCGCACCAGCATTATTACGGTAGACTTGACGCAAAAAACAAAGAGGAAAGGAGGACAATTTGTGTAGTCCTTCTCTCCTCTTTGTTTTTTTGCGCTAAGTCTACCGTAAGAATGAACCAATTCGCCCAACGAGTCACTTTACTATTGCATCAGCATTACTCGTCAACGCTTCCGCTTTGCATCACCAGAGATGGCAGACAGCCAGCGTGCTGGCCACGTGTTTGTCAACATTTATACATACGCACGCGACTTCACCACTGAGCATTGTGTGAGGATTCCTCAAACCGTACCAGCCTGCTTGTTGATGGACGGACGGGCCCGTATGCAGCGGCTGAAACCACAGAGGAGCTAATATTGTATTCTATCTGCATATAGTGAGAAAGAAATGGCTGCTTAATGCGCCACACCACAAGTTTAAAGGCGACCAGACAGTAGCTATAACGTTAACTTCTCCTGGTTGGTGTTATGGTTACTTCGTCGCCAAACGGTGTCGAAAGGTAGCCTAATTAGCGCGATGTAGCCATCAGTGACAACGTCCCTGCTTGATGTAGTATAGAGCCCCCTCACTGACGCAATGAGCCGAGATATGAGTTGGTGATTTTTTGATGACGTCAGTTTAGAAGATGGATAGATTAGGTAATCAATACTTAAGCTTATCCGTGTCGCCCTATACATATGTACACACCTATCGGCCATCTCATCTGTCATACGTCTATATTGTTGTATGACGTTATCTTGATTATTCATTCTTTCGTACTGCACAGAAACAACATCCTCTAGGCTAACTAAGGCCTCTTCATATCCTCCTCTGCTAGCGCTACGTCAGCCCGCTACGATGGCTACGCAATGCTACATGCCCTTTCTATCTAAAACCACGTGCTGAGACACAGCGACGCGTATTTGTTTGTGGTTAGGCCCAACGCTATTGACCATGGTCAGAAAATGCTACCGATCGGTAGTCGAGACTACCGAAAACACGCAAGCCAAATATTATAGCCAAGAACATTGCCTGGAATTCCCAAAAAAAAAATGTCAGCTATGTCTTTTCTCTCGACAAATGGCGCTATTCTGGCTAAAAAAATCATGGCGGCAAAGACCAACTACCGACCATTGGCTTAGTTGAGCATGGCACGCTTGGTCGTAACAGGAGACCGCCGCGGAAGGCTGCGACTTGTCCACGCGTGCGCGCGCGATCGATCGTACTGAAAAGACGCCTACTCGAAGAAAAAAGGAAGTGCTCAGTGTCATCAGCACGGTCAAGAGGCACGCGTGACGTATTTTCTTGCCCCGTGCCTCGCCTCCCTGCTTAACTTCCAGCGCTTTCGTCGGAAAGAGAGAACAGAGAACGCAATTGCAGCGTGCGATAAATATTTGTATCTCCGCTCGTACTGGGCAGATTCTGAAAATTGTTGCCTCAGGTAACTTGTGAGTTAATAAGCTCATTTAGTGAACCCATTTCATGGGTTCAATAAACGAGTCGTCCATACCCGTCAGATTACAGACGACGTCACTGAGGAGTGCAGATCGAGGCCTTAGCTAGTCCCCAGGGTGTTGATAGAACACGGCTTATTTGTTCGGCCTTACTCCAACCCGCACACTTTGATCTATCATTCTTCCAGGTGTCATTTCAGTGAATCGCGCAACAAATATCAGTCTATGTCTTTCAGGAACGCACGAGACTGCGTCAACAAGTCGCTGCAGGGCGTGGCACACTCCGTCGCCACGGTCGTCGCCGAGCTGGCCTCGCTCGAAGCCCTCGCTGATGCCATCGTAACCAACGGCAGCAACGATTTATCCGTGCTCCACGGTGGCCTGGAGCAGTACAGCGGGATGCAGATGTTCTTCGTCGCCTGGTGCTTCCTACGCTGCGGCGAACAGCGCATCGTTGACGGCGAGAACGTGGAAGAAGACCCTTGCTCGCACGTGCTGCGGCACGTGCGCCGCTTTTCAGAGGCCTTCCAGTGTGCGCCCGGCACGTTTCTCAACCCCGAAGACAAGTGTGAAATCTTTTGAGCAACGACGAGGGCGCCCGTCCACTTCTGAACGTGCGTGCCGCGCGCTTCATTAGAAGCGCTCGTACGTCACCACTAATGTTACCCGTTCCCCTTCAATTTGAAGGACGAACTTTTTGATAACGTAGATGGTTTTAAGAACGAAACAATTAAAATACGTAAGCGGAACTACTTATGCAGCGTTCCGCTCACACTAGGTGCACTTTTCTTTAACCGATTGCTCTTTCCCCTTAAAGCCCACATGATTGTACGTTAGAATGCCCCGCCGCGGTGGTCTAGTGTCTAAAGTACTCGGCTGCTGACCCGCAGGTCACGGGCTCGAATCCCGGCTGAGGCGGCTGCATTTCCGATGGAGGCGGAAATGTACGCCCGTGTGCTCAGATTTGGGTGCACGTTAAAGAACACCAGGTGTTCGCAATTTCCGGAGCCCTCCACTACGGCGTCTCTCAATCATATGGTGGTTTAGGGACGTTAAACCCCACATAGTGGAGTATAGTGAGATTGTACGTTAGAGTAACAGCACGCTACCCACCGGGTGGGCTTTCACACACAGGATGCTTACAGAGGAGTATCGTCAGCGAGCGCGCAAGATCTATCTCAACATAAAACATACCGCTTATTACGTCGGCTCATCCCAGCCACCTGGTGCGTACGTATTGCGCGACATCGACACATCTAGCACGTGGCATAAAAACATTCAGCATAATGACTGGTACACGCAAATGCTCTAGAAAAACCACGTCGTGTCGCTATGACGTGTTCGCTGTAACATGAACCGAGATGGTAACAAAACTTCCACACTCCTCGGTTCGAATATTCGAGCACGATTGCTCGAATAATAGAGTGGCTGTCGCAATAAATATGCAAGGTTAAGAAAACGGAAACTAAATTCGAAACGCGCGCCGCTCCAGGCTATTTTGCGAAGGGGTACGTGCAATGCAGTAGCTCCTAAGTGGAACCTTTCGCTTCACTGGCAAGAAGAAAAAAAACAACCAGCCGAGAGAACACTTACCACATTAGGAAAGAGGAAAACTGCGCCTTTGTCCACACTAGTAAAAGGCATCTGTCGCCTTCTAGTCTCTTAGCATGGCCTGCGCAAGCACGATGTTCGCCGCTGTTGGAGAGGGCAGCCGTGTGAACGACTCGTGCAGGATTGAGCAATGAAAACAAATGTTGACGGTGACACGGAGCATGCACCTTCCCTCAAGCGGAAAAAAAGTCGCAGCTTATCTATGGAGTGAATGATGATGAGTGGGGCGAAGCGTCTGAGGGTTTTATCCGTCTGTATGTCTCCTTGGAACGGACGGACGGACGCTTCGCTTCACTCGTCACTCACTCCGTGAATATGCTGTGAAAACCACTAACGTTATCTAGTTATATTATTCCCAAGGGCATGTACATACAACACCGTCTATAGAGCAACTCAAACTAGAGGTGGCTACCACCACTACTACTACTACCACCACCACCACCAGGAGGGTACTACAGAGGAGGGAACGACCCACGGCGTAAAGAGCTTCGCCCCTAAAAGGGCAGAACGATTTGGTGTGGTCACGGCCGGACTTGGGGAGCGGCACAAGGGCATTATGCACGCGTGCCGCTCTTGTACGGCCGCCTCAAGAAGTCTCCCAATCTTCCAGGCTTTCGTTCTCGCTATCTCAAAATGCCACGCAAACCTCCTCCAACGAAGCACTATCAAAACGGCAGAGGATAATGCAAAAAAATGAAGTCACAGCTTTGCCGCAAAGGCGAAGCAATGAACGCGATAGCAACAAATTGGAAAGTCACGCGCAGAATGGAAAGCAGATCGACGTGCACGGCGTTTCTCACGCAAAAATGACGCACGGAACGTACTCACGGGTACAAATGCACGCGAATAAGCGTCTCAGTTGTTACTTCGCTGCGTCTGAAAAGCGCGCGCTTTTCACAAACGGAGACTACAATGATTGCAGTGACCTTCGTGCGCCCGGTAACTACAACAGAATTGTTCTAGGTAAATCCCGAGGCCCGCCAAGACGTACGATTCTCCCCACTGATAGATAAGTGCGCGCGATGGAGCGTCGCCCCCCTCCTAGCGTCCTAGCGAGCACCTAGATAAAGCCTGAGCTAAAGCGCTAGGTGCTCGCTACAACCCAGCACAGGGGTGGGCGCGCCTGCCAGAAGGCGGGAGTATGCTCGCCGAGTAGAGGACGACACGCCGAGGTGATGTGTGACCGCATCGCAATGACCCTCCCCTCACGGGGATAGGATAGTCAGTCCACCGGATATTTGAATTGAGCCTTTTCTCTCTCTCGTCATCACCATACCAGACAACGGGCAAGCCTAGACACGAAGGTGGTTCGCCCCTAAAACTGTTTCACCACAAGAGTGAAGCAATGAATGCGACAGCAACAAATTGTAATGGTTCACAAAGTGAGGCTGGCAGCCAACTATCTTAAACCAAGTCTCGCCTAACTCGCAAAGTGCTGGTGACAATACGGCCGCTCCACGGACACTTTTCGCACAGCCCCTTCGTATTGAGAGCGCAGCACGTAGATGGGCCCGCTGATGACTGCCACCATCGCGACAGCGCCAGCAGCGCGCCCATTGCGACGGTGACCGCGTCTCTACAATAAAAAATGAAGTATTTGACATAGTCGTATTTTAGGAGATCTGCCACGCAACTATAAATCGTCATTGGACTTGCTCGCGTTTCCTTTCTTGAAAGCCCGGTGGTCGCCACTGTCACAAAACGAGCGCTCAAAAAGGGCGCGCGGCCAAATTCTCGCGTCGAAACGCCAGAGTGACGCCACGAGGTCAACGATAAAAAAAAAGGAGAAAAGAAAACAAACATTCAAAGACTCCCGGGCGCGCGACTCTCTCCCTCGGAAGCGTGGGCTCGCCGACGAACCTCCTCACCCCTCATCGGGCGGCCGAGCAAGCACTCGAAATTTCTAGATGGAAATGGGCGTGGTGACGCCGGGTTAAGTCATACGTCGCGGACGGCCCTCGTATCCTCTCGACCTTTCCCCCAGCCTTCGCTGCGCCTCGCGCCGACGAAATGATGAGAACCTTCTGGAATCTCGCGCGGAAGGTATTTAATCGAGCAGCCGAGACGAAAGATCAGGAGAAGACGGAAGTTAGCGCCAGAGCGCGTAGGGATTCCGCCGTGTAGTCGGCGAAGGTTTTGTCCGTAGAGACAAAGCAGGAGAAGAAGATGATTTCCACCTGAGGGGTGACGACTCGGGCTACAGGCAAAAGTGTGTGTTTACCGCTATCGAGCGAAGACGCGTGGCAACAGCTGCGTGTGTGAAGCCGATGTGTTTCCGGCGAAGAAGTCTGAAGCTTGGAGAGTGGCCAATTGAAGACGCGAGGTTTCCTGGAAGAGAAACTTCGGCGAGGTTTCCTGGAAGAGAAACTTCGGGGGCAGCGGAACGACAACAACGCTGGACTTTGAGTGAGTGATTCTCAGAAGAGTATCATCCAGACTTTTGTTCCAAGAACTTTGGACTGAATAGGTTTTCTATCTCTTTAGTCTTTAAGTGTCTTGGTTGTTCAATGCATGCGACTGCATTGTAGTGTGTATTGTTGTCTGTGTCCATTGTTTCGAGTGTGGCTGATTGTACTGTGTAGTACGTTGTATGATTGGTTTGATTTGTGACCTATTGTACTCAACTATTGTGGAGTGTGCATACTTGTGTATTGTTTTCTATCTGCCATTATTGAGAATAGAATTTTGTTTGTTTATCAACTCTCGGCTCTGACTTGTTCTTTGGGCCACAGCCGGCGTCCGCTGGCGCGCCAAAAAGGACCACTTCTAAATTGTGTTCGTGGTGCGGTTCGGGGGGCCGATACTTCGGCCCTTGGAATTCGCCCGGCGATCGCCTCCTGAATTAACGGGACCTGTGTGACAGCCACTTTCATATGTAGCACGCTGTCACACTGCTAGCACGCGAAATATAGTTGCGTAGCATAAATACTCCCCTAATACTCGAGAGTAAAAAGTGCACAGTTACTGCTGCTGGCGGGAAGTGTTTGACGACATACGCGACGGCATTGTGGCATTATTGAAGTATTGACCAACACGTCGTATTCCTTAAACCATCTTAACCTCTCATGCTAATTTTGGTTCATGCCAAGTTAAGGAGGTGACCATCAGGGCACCCACACGTAAGCGGCTAGATACATAAATACGCTGCAATTCACTAAGTTTGCCAAGAAATGCTTCGCATTTAATACTCCCCAGCCACGATGTTCATATGTAACGCAGATACAAGCATCATAATGAAACAGCACTGCCAGTAAAGCTCGCCTATAGACGTCAGACTCTGCCCAGGCGGCACTGCGAAAAACGCCGCCATCAGCGCCCCTGTCGACGCGCCGGCCATAAATGGGTAGTGAAAAGCGAGCCGTCCTCAAGTGAACGTGCATAGGCCCTCCTCTTTTGTTGGTCATGAGGCGCGGTTTCCTGAATACCAAGGACCTGGCAAGCTTCTTACTTCAATCCAACCTCGCTTCAGAAAAGTAGGAAACTCATCAAAACAAACTGTAGCTACAATGCGAAAGTTGTTTCAGTTAATTCGGCGTACTGCGACTGGCACTTGAAGTGCAAGCGAGCATCGCATGACATCGAGTTACAGGCAAGCGCTCCGACGTTCGTTCTGTAACGCCTAAATGCGTTAAACTCGGGAATACGCATGATGCCAAAGCGACGAAGTGCATACACGAGCAATCTATCTTACGATCAGTGGCACGAAGTTCACTTTATTCGGCCCAAATGGCCCTGGCATTTTTCGCCATTTCAACTGCATTTTCCATCGACCTCTCGCTTCTGTGCGCTGAAATATTTTATTACGCATGCTGGAATGTTCTGTTGACGGTTGCCATCACTTTGTGTTTACTGCAAAGGGGCATGCATGCGTGTCCACTTTCTAGGTGTACAACGAAATGCAAAACCGAGGCCTCTGAGAGAGCTCCGGCTATCCGGAGACCAACGGCAAGAAAAAAAAAAAAACATTGCGGTCACGATTATTTCGCGATTTACCTGTATGACGTGTATGTTCGCATTTCATAGATAAAGCCGAAACTTCGAGCCTTGAAAGCCCTCAGGCGTAATGCTGTGGAGCTTCAGGTTATCGGCACTCGCGGCGTGTGCGATGTTTATCGTGTGTGTCACATGTCTACAGCTGCACCGTGCGCACCGCGGTCAGAGGCTCTGTTAAGCATCATAATTAAAGTTGCTACGGCTCCCTTTCATATCACTTACTCAAAAGCAATAACAGGGAGACCTATATTATCACACTTTCTCACGCGAATGGCTGTAGACAACGCAAGCGATTCGCTTACCCACACAACAGCCCATGTCCGGTGCTCTCGCCATTCTGCTTCGCGGAAGCTGCGGAAAACAGCAAAACGAAGTCCTTGTGTCCGTAGCAATTCACAACGCAACTGTAGCGTCGGCTGTGGTCTTTTCGTAGAGCGCAAAGCTGTTGCGTCTGCTCTTGTTTTCGCCGTCGTTCTGGCAAGTGCCCAGCAAGCACTTCACCGCGGTTCGGAGACGCGCCCGACTAGCAGAGAAAAGCTCGTAGCTCTCCAAGAGCTCAATGCTCAGATGCACCTAATATTCAGCTCAATCGCGGTTTTTTACACTGTAGCTGCACCTGGTTGCGCAGCAAACTGCGCAATGGAGTCGGGCTTTGCACTACTCAAAACAGTGTCGACAGGTGGCGCTACGTGTCCGCAAAACTCGGACGTCTATGGAGTCCACAGTTGTATTGCTTGTAACATGTCTAACAGTGCAGAGCTTCAAAGAATTCAGTAAAATGCTTCCTATATTGCACTTTACAAGGATTGCAATGACTTTTTCAGGGGAAGAAATCGTTCAAGACGCAGTCTTCAAAACTGCGATCACAAAGCCCCCCCCCCTCCCCCAAAAGAAAAAAAAAAACGCAACAGGACAAAGTAATTGGTGTCAGCCAAGCGGAAGAAAACCACAAGTGTAAACTCTTTAAGCAACTGTTTTTATTTTTCATTGCACTTTCTTTTGGGCCCGTTCATCCCCTCCACAAATGCAATTAGGGAGGCCAAGGGGAAGGGGACTGTCCTTGCTGCATGAAAAAAAGCACGAAGCCTTTATTTTAAGGTATGCGGGGCCACTGGCCACAAACCAATGCAGACAAACCGCGTCGCGATAAAATTGTCTCTTGGCGGCGAGGCGAAGTACACAGCGCCGTCATAAACGCAGCTTTTTTTCATTCACAACGGGGTAATAGGCGCGAACACTCCAATGAGTGCGCACAGGCTGCGCATCATAGTAGTGGCTAATCCAATGTGGAATGTTCAGCGAACAGGCTCTTTTGGCTAGGAAAAGCAGCGGGCAAAAATGCTTCAAACAACCTTGCCTCGATGACATTTTCTTTAACACAGTCTCTAATGAACAGGATGAAAGGAACGATAAAACTTCGGTAGTTTTCTTGACATGGTAGCCGGAAAGATTTTGTTGCACATTATATATATATATAGATATCTCTTTCTTCGCATTCACAGACACTCAAAAAATGGGGACAAAAATTTCGGGCCCAGTCGAGGAGAAAAAATCCGCGCATTGTGCACAAACACATTCGAGGACACACAATGCTCGTCGTTACTATTTTTAGTCTCCCGCGTCTAGACTGATGCCCCCTCGTTACTTAAATCACCTCTTTGTCATCGACTAGTGAATACTTTTAGACATTCATTTAATGCTTTCTCTTGCAAACAACATCAAACACAAACAAAAGAACTATTATGCTGCTCTCCTTCGTCGGACCGTCTTGGCACCGAAGCATCTTCCACACCCCGAGAGTGACTTGCACGACAAACAAGTGCTGGGAGAGACTTATGAACCTGGCAATGGAGGATGGCGGGTGGGGTGGTTGTGCCTAGGATCGATTTGTAAATTAACGAACTAATAATAAACCCAGGGGTGATTGTGCAGAGGATCGATTTGTATAATTAACGAACTAATAATAAACTAAGGAAACACAGAAAACTTTTTTCCCTTCATCAACAATCAAGTGCTTTCTGCGTGCACTCCTAGAGCGTACGCAGAGCCGTCCTTGAGCAGCAAATGGTGCTTGCCATTGGCTACAACCCACGTATACAAGGATATGTTACCTACAGATATCGAGCTCCACAATGAAGGCATCATCAGGCTGATCAATTTTGGCAAAATGGTGGTGGTGGAGAGGGGAAAGAGGGTTCAAAAGGAGGGTGGGGATGAATGGAAGGATTTGTTTACCCTGACCTATAATATATACTTTTTGTTCCATCACAGGTCGACACCTAGAAAACCTGCAAGTAATCGCAGCAAGAAGTGCACACCGCATTTCACTAGTGCCCCTTGCAGTCTCAACTATTGTAACAATAATTATATAATAAATAATGTGCAACACCACTGTGGCAGCAAAAGATGGTGCTGGCAGACTCTTAGAAGAGTGAACAAAAAATAAAATGTGGCAAAGTCATCACAACGTTGTCAAGCACACGAAGAAAAAAAAAAGTTAGGTCTGACCTGTGCATATAAAACTCACGTCCGGCATTCGACAAGGCGTGGACAAACTGCACTGAACTCTAGTGTAACAGCCGTGCAGCTCTGCTGGCAATGTATTTTGACTGTAGAATACTTCGAGGTCACTTTAAGAAAGAAAACAAGGGCTCACAGATATCTCTCCTCCCAGGTCAATCTCAAAGCGCAGGAGCAAACACGTTCCCTTCTTTCATTCTTCACTAAGACATTCTCGTGCCCGGCCCCTTAATTCTACGGACACTTGTGTGGCAGTAGCAGACCAATTCAAAATATGCATCTCAAACTTTTAAAAGAATAAAGTAAACATCACAACATTACTGAAGTGCCGCATGAGTATAGGCAACAAACATGCATACTGAACAACGCACGCATGCAAACACACACACAGGCTCACATCACCCAGCACACTTCACACACAGCAATTTTGGAGCCCTCAGTATTCAGAACGAGAAGAAAAGTCTTTTGCCTAAGTTCCCTACGCAGCAACCAAAGAGGAACTTCTCTTCATCACCTTTCACATTCAGTATATTCCCCCCCTCCTCCATCTTATCCCATGAACCTATTAAGATTTTCTTGCAAGACATGTTCAGTCGACAGCTGTCCGCGCGCTCAGTCGGTCCTTCTATAAGCAGTCTGCCACCACAGTGCACACAGGGGCAAAAAGTTCACACACACGCGCACACACTGCACCAGACTGTCAGTTGCACACCATCATGAGAGTCTACCCGTGATTCTGCAGTTCCAGAGACTTGCAAATGCACTGCACACCTTCTAAAAGAGCGGAGAACCAAGGCGCTTATCGATCGGGAAGTGGGTCAGTTAAGGGAGACGTTGGGATGGGATGGTGGGGCGTCACTCGAAAAAGGAATTAGAGAACAACAACAATCTGCATTGTTTTCCTGTCTCGGCACCACTCATGAGCATTTGTCCACACAACGCTGAGCAAGCACTTTTTTTTATGTTGTCCCTACAGCCACTGATGAAGGCAGAGACCAAGAATAACGAAGGAGCCCGAAACAGGCACGGCAAGTCTTCGAACACTTCTTTGCCCACTTGCAACGCTCGCTTCCTCGGGAAGAGGGGCAGTAGTTCAGCACCACCTCGCTTCGTTTGTGAAGGTGCGATCAGCATTAGTTCTTATGCATAGCCACCCCTCTTGTGCACATCACAATCCACCTCAGTTGCAGCAGCACGGCAATCACAGAAACACACAGGACAAAAAAAAGTGTGCACAAACAAACACACAAAATCAGTCTCTGGAGTCAACACCACAGATACACAAAGAGTCTGCGGCACATTATGTTTCCCGGTTGCGAAAGAACGGGTCTTGCGAGACAAGAGAACCGTAGTTGCTCTTCCACAAGTTGGCTTGGTTGTGCGAAAAGTAGAGCAGTTGCGGCTGACTGTGAAAATGGACGAGCTGCTGTGTGCTTTCATCGCCAGCCGTCTTGCCTCTCACGTTGAACGACGGAAAATATAATAAAAAAAGGCAACTGATGGGAAGTAGCGAGGTGGCCGCAGTGATGGCCAAATGCAGAGAGTGGATGGCGAGGCCCTGTGCTTGGAGACGTTTTTTTGCGCGACTTGCTTGCAGCGGCGGAAGACTTTGATGAGGCGAGAGAGCCGGGTGACGACAGACGAGGTGAAGCACTTGAATGCTGGCAACGAGAAAAGGAAGAGCGACAAAACAAGAAAGGACAGGGAGAGAAAGAGAGATGGCCAGAGCAGCTGAAGCATGCACACACCACACAACCAGTTTTCTTTCCACCGCACGCCATCACGGACACATAACAATGAGCCTAACTGCACTGCAGCCCATTCTTGCCTCTTCTCCAAGCTTCATTCCTTGAAAGAGGGAACGTGCGCAGGCTAGCTATTCTGTTGTCGCTGGCTGCTGGACGACGACGAATCACAGTAGTACAGGACCCTTGTCTTCGAGTCCGAGGAGCCTTCTGTGAGAAACAAACGGAACACGCGCCACAGGTGTAAATGTGACACACTCCCCACATGAAGTACTTATTCTAATAATGCTCTTCAATCAACATTATCTGGGGTATAGCACACCAGAACTGTAGCATGTTCACATGGAATACCTAGTTATTGCAAACAAAATGTTACTCTTTAAAAATGCACAATTTACATACACAGATGAAAAGTGGCTTTTCATACATTTTTCAATATCACGCTGGTCATCTGACGCTGGCCGACTTGGTGAATCAAGAGGCAAATGTTATGGCAGCAATGCTATAGTATTCGTCAAACCACACGGTTAAGCACAAGGACGCTCAACAGGGCCAAAGCCAAGGCATAATTCATCCATAATCCTTTACCATGGCACGCCTATTCATGTCTTCGTTTTCACATGTAAAATCACATGAAGAAATTGTGGATGGTCAGAACGAAGGTAACGCAGTTTTCATAACACATCACTTCAAAAGTGGTATGAATTTTTTTTTTTTGCAAAACTAATATGAACAATTTTTTGTTTGTCAACTGTTCATAACCTGGCACTAATACGTACGCAAGTCTGCTTACCTTTTTCATAGCTCTGGCAGGCTCTCACCCACTCTACACAGAAAAAAAGAAAAAGTCCTTTTAAGTCACAGGCAGCATTGAAGGATTATAGAATGCAAAGACTACACATAAAAAGCTTGCATCTGGAACTTATCAGGTTTCACTATCACCTGAACATGCAAAACATTTAAGCAGTTAGCAGTCACCATGCTAACAAAAGGTCACAATGGGCCCTGCCTTGAACTTTGAAAAGCAGTAATGCTGAAAGAAATAAATATTAGATCCCACACATGGTGTGGATCGCGTGAAGCAGTCAGCTGGCGCAGCCTATGCCATTTTCCTCACTTTTAGCCAAGCTTTACGAGGTGGTTTGACGTCTGTGTAAATATAGTTATGACGTGTGCTACCAGGCACACCGAGAATATTGGCGTCTAAAGGGTAGCTCGTGGTTGAGCCTCACGTTAAAGCAGAGACAACACTCGCACCATGGCTGGCATCATCCTCGCATGATGTTTTAAACGGTATTTTTTAAGGTGGTTGGAACGACTGGGGTGTCTATTGACTGCCACAAAATCCTCGCTTGATCAGCGATTATTTAAATGCCAATATACTCAGAAATGGCATTGGTACATAGTGCATGATCTCATGCCTACAATACACAACCCTCTAATATCCGGCGACACCTGACCGTCGGTGGTGTAACGGTTCCTAGTGTGCTTGGATGTCACTCGGCTTTGAATAGCTCCTGCTGCAATCTGCATTGGGCACACTCGACTGCATCAAACTTTCATATGGCATGCTCCTCGTAGAGCTCCAGCGAATCAGTGAAGGTCGAAGTGAACTGTCTACAAGCTGGACACATTGAGAATCTAACCCCTGCTTCGCTGCAGGCAGCATAATGTCCCGATTATTCTCCATCATAAGCGCAAGGCAAATGATCAAAACACGCTAACTACACCAAATGATCCACAGCCCAGAAAATTCCGTGAACGTAAATGCCATGCTGTCCCCGACTGATGTCACGTGCAAGTTATGTAGACTCTAGTGGTGCAGAGCTGCACACCATCTCGCAGCACGCAGGTACGTGTCTCGTGGAGAAGATTTCATGACGCACAAGATAGAGACAACACATAATTCTTGTCATAGCCTGCCAATTGTGTTGTATATTTATGCCTACCTATGGCAATTGGGACCTGAACTTGGCAACGTTGAACACTAGAACCTTATCTAGTGAGGCAAGTCTTGTTGTACTATTCGAGGAGTTAGAGGGCATTAAATGGGATGTAATAGGGCTCAGTGAGCATTAGGAGGACAGACGAGGCCTATACAGTGCTACAGAACGGGCACGTCCTTTGCTATCAGGGCTTGGCTGACAGAAGAGAACTGGGAGTGGGGTTCCTTATCCACAGAAACATAGCTGGCAACATAGAAAAATACTATGGCATTAATGAAAGGGTGGTACAGCTTTTGGTACAGCTTTCGGAGCTGATTATTAAGTGTAAGGTATCTGATGTAAGAAGATATAACATAGAGAACATTGAACACGCTCTGAAGAACAGAGGAAGCGTCGAAGCAGTGACGAGAAAACTTGGGATAAGCAAAAACCAGATGTATGCACTAAGAGACAAGGAAGACGAAGTAACTACTTATATAGATAGGATAGTAAAATTAGCGGAAGAGTTTTTGCAGTAAAATTAGCGGAGGAGTTTTACAGATCTGTAAAACTCCTCCGCTAATTTTACTATCCTATCCATATTAGTAGTTACTTTGCCTTCCTTGTCACAATAGCGCCAGGACGTCAGTGGCTAGATAGAAACATTCAAAATGCAGCAATGCTACCAAGGTTTTCTGACTTGGAGCACTTTGGAGCAAGTAATTCTAAATCTGGGATATTCTGGAGCGGCTAACTTGACATCTCGGGGTACACCCACTGAAGAAGCAAGTTGCACTTATATTCAAGGACATGAATAATTATTTTGAGCCTCTTCTCAAGAGCTAGAGATCTAAAATATTTCTATTCATTGCAAATATCAAGGAGCCAATCATCTTAGGAGCACTCCTTATTTCACTCAATGATGCGAGAATAATTGCATCATGCTGTTTAGCATAGGCATCTGCAGGGTTCCCTTTCAGGGGGGAGGGGGCAAGCAAGGTTTCGTTGCAGCACCCCCCACACGCAGTTATTGAATGTATGGAGTAGGGTACCCTCACAGGGTACCTTATGCTTAAGAAAACTCTGAGGCAAAAGCCATATTGTTTTTATTGCAATAACATATGAACATTCACAACCATATTTTCCTGTCGCTGTTATGTTTTGTTGAAATGTGCACGAGCGGGAGTGGCGAACGAGGCTGAAACGGAAATAAAAAGTGCCGGCCTATTTTCATAGCACAGAGGGCGTATGGGATATCATCCCGCACGCTACTCGAGCTACTTGAGCAGAGGGAACACAACACCCATCTTGAGGGTGCATGAACGAATGCAGAAGGAGGGGGGTGATTGTGTCTTTAGAGCAAGGACTGTGAACTTAAACTTAGGGCACGATCGCTGACACATGCGCTATTCCGGCAAGTATTACAGATGGCTTGTAGGCTTATATACCGTTGCATATGTTTTACTCCCAACACGAACCGACTGTGCAATTAGTGGTTCGTTTCCTCGAGGGGCAGTAGAAGGGTATGAAGAGGGGTATACATTGAGCATTTATTGCAAGGCGGCCACACAGTTGTGCCATTTTAGAGGTCCATTCGTTCACGCCGTTTCTTCCACACGTGCATCGGCGTGCAAGAGGTGTTCTAGGGGTCTCTAGTCATCCAAGCCGCCACATGGATATCGAACACAGAGCATGCATAACTTCTTTTGCGCGTGGAGATAGTGTGCGGACCTTTAAAATGGCAAACCCTCCACTAGTGCTTCTCGCAGATGACGCCAAATTGTATCTTTTGGACCTAACATTGCATAACTCAACAGAGCATTGCTTACAGGGACAATGGTCACTCCAGGTGCTGACGCGATTTTCTTGTTGTCAGTTATCTAAACGCGAAGTAGACGTTAATAGCACAGAATGTTTACGAGCAATCTTCTGATGCCTGGAGAAAGAGTGAGTGCTAGCAAGTGCGCCCTGACAGCGATGCAGCCTCCCACCCTCCCAAAATGAAGCAACGTGGAGCAATGAATATGATACCGTGATGTTTAATTTTTAACCGTCAGCTGTTTACCCTGGAAAGCAAGGGGCGAACGCGTAACATGGTTTAGCCACTTCACAGTGGGCCTTCGGACACCAGGGCCATGAGCGATGGGCCCACTGCTGAAAAATGAGGGCATAAAATCGAATTGCCGCTGTTCCGACCAGGAGGCATGCTTTTATTGTTGAGATTATTTTTTAAAAAAAGGATGCAAAACATTTGAGTTCTAACCTAAGCGAAAGGGTAAGATCGTCCAGGGAGATTTACTGCAAGAGCGATTACAAACGTCGACGTGCTGGAGGAAGGAATCGTGAAAATTTTATTCTGGATGAATATCCATGTATAAAGTATATTTGAGGGAAAGTGCCAATGCGTTCCCACCGTTCACGTGTTCTGTATACGCAAAGCATTAAAAATTAGGTCGCGACGTCCAGAAATAAATGCGACAGACCTGGTGGCACACGTGTGCAGTTATTAGAGACGATTGCTTTAGTTACGTGCAACGCAGCTCTTCAAACAAGTTATCAGCAGCTTTCCCAGAACGAACCGCCTCAGTTTAAAGCTGGCAATCGGAATAAAAAAATGCCATGCGCCCCTAGCTGTGGAAAGCACGTTTCGCTGTTCAGCCAACTTGCACAACAAAAGCAGAGTCAGCACCAACCATATAGTATCGTGGATTACCTGGGACGCACGAGCAACGTCTGTTTATTCTAGGTTAAGTTGTCACTTTGGTGGGCCCCGAGAACAAGCTGCCCATGTTTTGACACGCCGCCGTGGCTATTGCCAGTGATGGACTCTCCCAAATCCGACTGTGATGCTGTTTAATCTCTGCTTGTTACATATTTAGATGACGGTCCCTTTTGTTACATCTGCACTTTCATTTTCGGAATTTCCTCCAGAACCCGCATATAATGAAATCCCCTTTATAACAATTTTTTCCAGGAATTCAACAATTTTGTTAAATCAAGATTTAACTGTATAACCCTTTGTTGCCTGAATTACTGTGTTACCTCTCTGGTGTGTACACACCCAATAAACAAAATTGTTGAAGATAGAACTTACATCACCAAGGTGAGAAAGAATGAAGTGAGAGCTGTTGCGCCCACTTTGCGCTCTCTGCCAGCAGCTACAAGACAATTGGTTCTAGCATAAAATATGTTAAACAAGACGGTGCTGCAGTTTTTATGCCGAAAGCTACGTTTACCGTGAGTACTTGACAACCGGCATTAAAGGCAGCGTGCATTTTGTGACTGGCCTGTTTTTCAGTATGTGGCGAATTCGCGACACTCTGCAATAAATAGTTAAATGTTATATTTTCAAGGGTGGTTAACGGGACACTAAAGGCAATATTAAGGGGATGTGCCAGCCAAAATGAAGTTCCAGAAATCTTATTGTGCTTTTTTGATGAAAATAAATGGTTGCTAAAGAGAAAATCAGTGTTTCAAGGGTCCATGTGCCCCTACCAAATGAATGAACAGAACAAAAATGTCAAATGAGTAATGGATGACATCAACAGCTGGGGCAGTGAGCACTCTCACAGCAGAGATATCAAACTTTCGGTTTTGCTTTACAAAGACATCTTATTGGTGCATCTTTGGTGCAGCCAATCGTCGAATGCAACTAGAATGTAGAGCCAATACCGATAAAAGCAGGACTCGAAAAACCCCCTGGTGCAGTGGCATTTTATGTCCTCTTGCTTCAATAAATGGTATGAACAACTTAGCCATACAAGAGCTGCATGACCCCAGTGCAGCCACTGATGTCTAAGGAGACTGACTGACGGTGCCGAGATACGCAAGCAGGTAGCTTGATGATGATTGGTAAGGTTTCGTGGCCGAAGGGCCATGAGTGGCCGTACATGCCAACCTAAATAATGTGTGCCCTGTTGAAGAGAATAACCAAGATAGGTCGAATACACTGATTAGTTCCTTCAAAGACCTGCTGATTGATTACCTACCCCTCTAAATGCTTTCTTCCAAATGACATATGTCTCCGAAAGACTACGAAGATAGAAAATAAAACAGACTACAGACCAAGTGATTCACTGCAATAAATACAGCTGAACCCTTTTATAAAAGACACTGATATAAGAAGCAAATGGGTATATGAGACAACAGAATTGCTGCCTGGAGCCTGCCTCTTACAAAGGGGTTACACTGTATACATATGCCTTTTTAACATGTACTTACAACTCTGAACTTTTCAATGTGGGGGCTAATTCTTCCCTAGGAAGTGAAGTTTACATACGAGGCTTGCCTAAGTACTAACGCAAGGGCCAATGTAAAAAAAAAGGAAGCAATAGGAGAAGGCTCGAGAGGTGCTCACCCCAGTCCAGGAAGTCCACCACGTCCCTATGGTTAAACCTGCCCAGCTCTTCCGGCCGCCCGTCAAAGCGAGGAGGAGCCACAACGGTGGGAGCTGCAGTTGCCACGGCAGCAGGCTCTCCCCCTTCCCTAAGAGTTCCCCCGAAGGCACACATTGGAACTGGCTGTTCAGACTCATTTGCACTAGCTCCTCATTCACATCAAAACCAAAAGTTATCTCGCTAAGCATAGAGGGTGGTGTGCCGCAAATGTCGTCCAGGAGCACAACTGCAGGGCTGCTTGACCTGTTGCTCTCGCCACTGTGATAACACTCCGTGGAGTACGACGAAACATTCTCGCGTACACTACCACTGCTCACTGCAGTCACGGTCGAACCACCTGCTGTGGGTGTAGTTACGGTCGTGACAGTCGCAGCCGGAGTCTCTGTTCCTTGACTAGTTGGCTGAACTGCCGCTTGTTGCGAAGGCACTACTACTGCTGTCGAGTTCTCTGCCCCCACTGACGAATTTGGCGCAGTGGCACCACCACACCCACCACCACTATTTCCACTAGTCCCGCCACGGCCCTGTCGGCAAGACATGCGCGCAATGTCTGCATACGACGTCTGCAAGACCATGGTGGCAGCCATGCCACTGCCAGCTACTCACTGGTAGCGAGTGGACGCTGTCCAGGTCAGAGTTCTCTGGAGAGGACGGCTCGGAAGGCGGCGCCGAGCCGGTGTAATTGTGCTGGCGGCCGCCCCCCACCACGGTGGCGGGGGGCTCTTGGTGGATGCTCGGTGCGCCAACGCTGTTGCGCTGTTGATGCTGCTGCGGCGGTTGTGGCTGCGACAAGCTCTCTAGGGAATGCACACCGGGTCTTCGCACTGTTGATTCGTGGACCGCTCCATTGCCGGTAACAGTTCCATGCGAGCTGCCGAATCCTGTCCCACTGCTGCCGCCACCTCCTCCTCCGAGCGGCCTGTGGAAGCCCTCGTACACGGTGGTTGCTGCTTTCTTGAGCTGAGCTCTTCGCCTCGGCTTCTTCGTGACTAGCCTGAACTCAGACTCCTGAATTTGGTCAACGTCTGAGTAGGACGACAGATCCACCCTGTAGCACCCGGCAAGCTCGGTCTCCGTGCCATAGTCGGAGTAGAAGCTCGGTGAGAAGGAGCGCTCCTTCTCATTTGGGCTGCCGCCACTGCCGCCTCCGCAGAGAGGAGTATCCTCGAAGACGGCTCGTCGATGCGAGGAATCAAAGTTGTTGTTGATTACAGTCCTCCGACAAGCCCTCCTGTGTCGCCTCCTTTTCGTCAGCCTGGCCTGGTGGCGGACTCGACAGGGAGTTCTTAGCACCGCTAGAGTTGGACGAAGATGAGGTCGTGCCCTTGCGCACGTTTTTGCCCTTGCGGTTCTCTGTGGCCACACTGTTGCCCCCGTTGTTTGAGCTGTTTGGTGCTCCGCTCTTGTCGTCGGAGTAGATGTATGCCAGTAGGGTGTCAATGGAGTCACTGCCACGGTGGCCAGTCATCTGCTCGGCCATCACGGTAGGATCCACGTGATTGCGGGACCTCTTGCTCTTCCTTGCAGAGTAGGAGCCATTGTTGCTGTGAAGCTCCCCATCACGAATCCGACTCTGTGCAATGGCAGTCACTGTTCCCGTGTCACCTGCACATTGCAGAAAGGACAACATGCTCCAGTAATGCAAGCGGTAACTCTGCTGGACAATACCGCTACTTCTATTGCCGCAGAGCCAGCATTCTCTTCCACGTAACAAAAGCTGTGGTGATGTTCCTTAAACCTATCTTCTTAAAGCTATTTTGAATTTGATGCCCGACTAAAGCGTAGTCGCATGTCAAAGGGCAACCAGTTGCAAATGCAGCAAAAACAGATTTAGCAGGTAGCATTTGTATCAAAAGCTTCTTTAGACAAAGGACTTTTCAACTGAGCCAGTTACTACGTACTACATGCTTAATGCACGTAATTTTGCATGCCCGGAAAGCTTACAGACCAACACGTGAACTAGTGCTCGTTCAGAGATTTTTATGAATTGTGCACTCATCAAACATGTAACTAAATATTCACACTACCTTAGCTTGCGCACGAGGCGAGACACTGCTCTTGAAAAGTTTTGTTTCTTGATTTTGATAAAACTTGGAGAGGTCATGTATATTTATGTGCCGATTTCAAATAAATCATTTTGCTTGTATATGGTGTAATTTTTAAATACAAAATATATCATGCACTTTATGAGGGGCAAGATTTTTTTTAAACGGAGAGCTACAAAGTAAATTAGCATATCAATAATCTGGAATAAGAGCTGATCACAGTGCACTGCAATCAGCTCCAACTACAGAATATTGTGATATTGATTGATATGTGGGGTTTAATGTCCCAAAGCCCCCATATGATTATGATGCAGAATATTGTGATATGCTGATTTACTTATTAACTTCAGAAAAGAACTCGCTCTCTCAAAGGCTCAATAAATAGTTTGCATTTTAGAAACTACACTTTATAAAAAAAAACTATATAAATTGCCTACTGAAATCGGCACACAAATACACATAAAGGCACTAAGTTTCATCTGAATTGATAAAAAAGTAAATAAAATATTTATTTGCCATGTCTTCCCATAACCCATCAATACACATGATGCTCTTTGAGAAGTGGTGATCAGCACGCAAAAAAGACCTGCTGCCACTGCTGTGCCTATCTCATCCCTCAGGAAAACCCCGCCTGGTCTGAAACAAAAACAGAACTGCTATTGGTCTCCAGTACCTCATCTGAAAATGTATGCATAGATCTTGGGCAGGCAGCAACAACTGCTCAACTACAGCCACTGTTGGTCAAACGCTTTGCCTTACCCTCACCACAAAACATTGCCGGTTCAGCTGCTTCCTAAAAGCAAGATCTTTTTTTAACAAACTGCTCTTATAGTCCGTAAGATTGCAAGGAAGATAAAAAGAGGCGTTAAGAAAAGGGCCGCAAAATAATATAGACGTTGAAAGGGAGCTTGGCACACGAGACGACACTTTCACCCCAGCTCCGTTTGTTAAAATGCTACCACTGCAACCTTGCCCTTGTTCCCTTATATCTCCAAGGCCTTGAGAAGCCACCATGGAGGGCCATAACCTACCTTAGATTAAGACGAATTTGGGAAAGCACGCAACGATTGTGCACAAATTATGGGCAAAATGTACACCCACCTATATACAATGTAACCATGCTAATTCAAGTTTCAGCCATACTGAAAATTTGTTCAAATGAAACAGTGCACCAACTAAAGAGAGCTCATTTAATTAAAGCCCTCAAGTACGTATGTGGTATGGTGTGCTGGCATGTCGTACCACATGCTGCTGGATAGGCATTTATGATCGCATTGTGCAAGCCAGCAGGGGTGCAGTACCAAGGATATGTGCAAGAGAGCTATACGGCTTGAACAGTCTGAGCGTTAGAACCAGGAGATGTCTAATTATCTAGATTCTCCGTACACCTTTTTACCGCGCTACTTCCAAACCTCAGCGACACAAATGTCATTGAGTTGACCAAGTTGTGCTACATCTGGCTGTCGCTTGCCAGCCCTGCTTACATGTTTCCAAGTGCCCCTCGAGCACCAATGGAACGCACCCAGCGCGGGTGACTAGAAGGTGCCGTGCCGGTAAATGGTACAGTGACGAATTTTTCTCGCTGCTGCTTTGGCGTCGGTCGCTCTCGCAGCGTGCGGAGGATGTTGTCGAAGTGCCTGTGTGCGATTTGCAAAGACTTTGTTAAATAGAGGTAACTGACCTGCTAACTCGAATCTCCCTAAAACGCTTGCCACTCATTTTCTCAAATCAACAAATTGCAAGTCCAAAGGGGCCCTGCAACACTTTTCAAGTAGCCATAGAATGAATTCAGTAACGGAGCTTATTGCCTTCTACACAAACCACGGCAAAAAATTTTACAATCAGTCCAGTGCGAGCACAGTTAGAAAGATTTGTCACACCCTGCAATTGCTTTCCTATTCTCTTGTCCCAAGGGCAGCACTAGAAGCTAAGCAGGAATAGCTGAAAGCTATGCCACGTGCGCGCCTGTTGATCTTGACCAGTTTTCCTCTTTTTATTCTTCTTCGAACGCACAAGTTGTGGCTGTCTGCAGCAAGCCTCAATAACTTCCGACCATGCCATGCCCAAATCGGCCAATGGCACGATACTTGAGCCTGTGGCGCATCTATTCCGGGTTATGTAGTAGCATTCATAGAGACAAAAGAAAGCGATTCTTAGCTGACTAAAAAATTAACGCACATTCTAGGCCATGTGCTGCGCTATATCATTTTGCTCGAGTATTCTCGGGAGCCTTGACAACCAATCAGCATTTTCTGACCATACCGAAAAAGTGTTGCAGAACTCCTTTAATGTTCAAGCTTGAGATCGACAAAGCAGCATTGTCACACACTGCTAAAACATTTCCGCTTATTTTATTGACAGTCTGCCCATTTGAAAACAACATACTTTTTATTGCAAGAACTGTAGATGACAAAAAAAAAAAAGCAAAATATCTAGTGCTGAACATTAAGGCCTATGCTAACCGAACACAATGGTAGAAGTGTACTTATATTCAAGTAATATGAATATGCGAACGAATATCACTGTGGGCAAGTCTACTAAATTCGTATTTACATTTTTGGAAATAAATGAACAGGTGTATTAGTTGGCATGTAACACACTATAAAGGTGGTTCACTACAGCAAAATGATGCTGTGCCATGAAAACACCTACACAGTGGAAACGCGCACTGCCGCGAAGCCCCACTTCAAAGTTAAACGTATTACTCTCGCATCGATTCATAATTTTTCAAATTTGAAAGCTTCCAATACTGAATAAGTATAGTAAATCAAAGGCACATATAAGCAAATACTTTATGTGATTGTAAAGACTGCCCTATTGAGTCCAACTGGATATGTTAGGTGTGCCATAAATATAACGAAGCAGCACACAAATGAGCAACTAAGCTCAATTACTGAAGAACAAAAACCAGAAGTTATACGAGGCAATGTTTCAGAAGCAGTTGGTGCTCAAATGCATTGAATTAAAAACTGGTATTATGCCTCCATATTAGGCATTTTCCCGCATCAAATGGAAACATTCACGTCGCTGTTGCCGTGCACAACGTTGCCCCACTTTACAGCGCGGCTGTTTACGCTAGTAGCAGCAGAGTGAAAATAGCGTGAACCACAGCAGAAACGGCCACTGAACAATTTCCTGCCATGGCCTCAGAGATAGCAGGCATGCTTGGTTTAACTGGGCCCTGCTAGATGGCACGGCATGTCCAGTTTAACGAGGTGAAACTCAAACTTTTGAACCACTTGCGCCCTTCCACATAGTAACATGTGGCAGTACTTTTCTCCATGAATTAAACAGACACGAACAAGCAGCATTTTATTACGCTCCTTGATGCACGGGAATTTCATTATTTAGTGTAGCTAGTTTGATTACTAGTGATTAATTGCAGGCGGTAGCTTTCAGGTCATCGCGATTACTTTGCGAATGACTGTGGCGCACAGTGTTCTCGTGCATTTACCTTAACTTCTTGGTGAGTAGGGCACTGCTGTTAATAATATTGTCGTTTTAGTTCGTCATACATTGAGCTTTCACTCTGATGTAAATTATTTGAATTTAGTGTCCCTTCAACACGTGGTTTCTAGGACTAAATTAGTCAGGAGCAAGCGGAAAATTTTCAATTTTCCCGTTTTTTTTTCGTAAATTGGATTTACTCCACAGATGTGACATTGTGTTTTCAGTGTTTTTTCACTAGAGATAACACAAGCTGTAGACTTTTTCTTTGAGGCTACACATGGATTTGACATCACTATCAACTGCTCTAAACTCCAGTGCGACTCGCCAGTTAACAACACGCTTTGCCATTTTGAGATTTTATTCCCTTCATGCGAAAGAAAAAAAAAAAAAAAAACGACAATGTGTGGTTCAGTGCAGCTGAGTATTACAGGCATGACACTATGTCTGTTGATGAAGCATGGAAAGTACTCCTATAGGACACCTGTGAAGAAAGTATCTATCCCATACCTTGCGCAAAATTACTGAATACAAGCTGTCGTGGCCAAGCATGGGCTTACCACTTGGCTAAAAGCTTCCCTGCCTATCTCTTTCAGGTGTCTAGAGATACGTTAAAAGAAAAGTTACTTGCCATTAAAATTTACAGTGAAAATATAAAGTTTCCAGATTAGGCTACTTGCCGAGAGTGGAGCTACCAGCCCAGCCATTGTCACAGAATACTCTCTCAACTTGAAGTCTAATTGCCCAATACAGTCTCAAGGGCACCTTCAGCAATGAATAAGGCCTCTTTAAGATGCTGCCAATTTACGATATGGAGGTTTTTCTGTCGAGCCTTGTACATTACCAACGATCTCGTATTGTTAATCAAATAAACATTATCATTCCTTTATTATGCCGAAAAGCATAATAACATGTGGCAACAACTGGCAGATATGGCAGAGGTGATACCGTTGAGTATAACATATACTGTGACAACAATGTCACAATACAATAAAACCTCGTTAATTTGAACCCTGTTATTTCGAAATCCCACTTAATTGGAAGGATTTCTGCGGTCCCAGTTTTCCAATGTAAGTTAGAGTGGATAATTTGAAGCGGCGGCCGGCACAAGCCCAGTAAATTAGAAAACTTTGGGTGCCGTGTTCGAGTTCCACATCCCGATTTTGCCGCAAATCCGTGGAAAGGACAGCCATTAATTGCCACAAGGCAATGCAACGTATTGATACTAATGAGTGGCAGCTGAAGCGAACCAGTCTCGCGAATTCTAGGGCAAAAAGAATAAGAACGAAGCAATAACTGCCTCGTGGTCAACCAAAATGTACGCCTGCAGAAAACGAGCCGTGCTTCACTGCAACACAGCCGTGACACACAGGCAGCTTATTGCATGTTTCTCGAATCGTCAGTGGGTCATGGTTTACCTATTCTCTCTGGGATTGTAAAAAAATTGATAAAGAAAAACTTTGCAGGAAATCGTGATGTATGCGAACCTCCGATTGCCAGTAGCTCCATCAACTCGTGTCTTTGCACTGCTGGCGGAATTCTTGCCAGCAACACCTACTTCGAAAACCAAGTTCGAACGTTTCAAGGATAATTTTTTTTTCCATCCAAAACACATGGTGCTCTTTGTCATACTGGCCATTATTAAATTTTTAATTATAATAGAAAGAATGTGCAAATGGTTGCATCATGACGTGTTGACGCAGAGAGGAGCAGGCGACATGCTGCCTGTGTGTCGCTACTGTGTTGCAGTGAAGGTGCGTTTTCTGCAGGCACACATTTCAGTCGATCACGACCACGTTATTTTTTATTTTTTTTCCCGGTAGCAGCAGGGAGGCGCACTATTCCTCCATGTTCGGGGCAAAATAAAGACCAGGTATTGCTGGAAAACATAACTTTTGGAGCCGCAAGCTAACCGGCACAGCAAACGATGAGCACGGATTAGCTTGAATAGTTCTAACTTCCTTACATCCCACTTTTTGTATGTTCTGTTAATTTGAAAACCCGCTTGATTCGAAGCTTTCTCGTGGCCCCAGTGACTTCAAATTAACGAGGCTTTAGTGTAGTTAGAAACACAACTACTACAGAACTTGGATGACGCATGAGCTTCGCCTTCAAGAGTAGACCGCGGTAGCGTAATCGGGCCATGCGCTAATCATCATCTCAATTACTAGCCTGTCTTTGATTTCCGTGTTTGCCTCAACCGTGCCAGGAGAGAACGAATGATTGCATGCAACACTGGCCTTTCAAACTAATCGTAGAATACCCATCGACAGTATAATTGTTTATTGCCAACTACGCCATAGTTGTTCTTTTTGCAAATACACGAAGGGTCCTCTAGGTGTGCGTAAGACAACACGCGATTACATGCTTGAGTGCACTGTGATGCGTAGGCCTTTAAAACACCCACTCGTTGCACATTTCACATGTTTTGACACCTAGCACGATTCTACTCATCTACCACTTCCTTCTACTACATGAATGAAAGAAGTGTGAAGAACATAAAGCTTCGCCTTTTTGGTTAGGCACGGTAATAACGAAAACTTGTACAACATGACATTCATATCGACACGCAGACAGCCTGGTTTTTAAGATTCATTTTATTAGCAGGTTTCTTGATATTTTATGTCATGGACAAGGTGATGTTTCCCAGTGCACAACCAGAGACGCAGACATGAGAATCTCTGCAACACGAGCTCTTTTACACTACTGAATTCAAATAATATACAGTGCATAAGTATTATAAATGCATGTATAGGTGGAGAGATATTCGTTTATCCGACAAAATAATCTAAGAGCATGATGAAGGCACAGACCGAAAGGTAGCTGTAAATTCCAACAAAAATAACCTGGAAGAGTGACAGGACGAGTAACAAAATGAGACTGTGTTACTATAGCCAAGCTTTTAAATCCAGCATGGTGAAGCAAATCATTTGCATGCCATAATTTCTTCTAGATTCGACTATAAACCAATTAGAGTTGACTGTGATAGACCTAAAAAAAAAACGTATGAGAAATAGCTCACTGCTAAGCACAAGGTCTACGACATTCAGTTTCAGAATGAAAACATCGTAACACATTGCCATCACATTTTTTTTGGACAAGAAGTTTTGGTCCTGCGCAAAAGGTGGAAGCTCGCATCTGGTACCTTTCCCCACTTTTTCCCAACAATTCCACCCCATATATCAATGCC